GGCAAATGCTCACCTTTGATGGCCACTGGCACACTGGAGAAGTGTGCTGTTCCCAGATGAATCCCAGTTTCAACTGTACCGGGCAGATAGCGTTGTGTGGGTGAGCGGTTTGCTGACGTCAACGTTGTGAACAGAGTGCCCCATGGTGGTGTTGGGGTTATGGGATGGGCAGGCATAAGCTACGGAGAACGAACACAATTGCATTTTATCGATGGCAATTTGAATGCACAGAGATACCGTGACGAGATCCTGAGGCCCATTGTTGTGCCATTCATCCGCCTCCATCACCTCATGTGATGCACGGCCCCATGTCACAAGGATCTGTACACACAATGTCCCAGTTCTTCCATGGCCTGCATACTCACCAGACATATCACTCATTGAGCATGTTTTTTTTATATATTTTTTTATTTCACCTTTATTTAACCAGGTAAGCCAGTTGAGAACAAGTTGTCATTTACAACTGCGACCTGGCCAAGATAAAGCAATGCAGTGCGATAAAAACAACAACACAGAGTTACATATGGGGTAAACAAAACATAAAGTCAAAAATACAACAGAAAATGTATATACAGTGTGTGCGAATGTAGTAAGTTATGGAGGTAAGGCAATAAATAGGCCATAGTGCAAAATAGTTACAATTTCGTATTAACACTGGAATGATAGATGTGCAAAAGATGATGTGCAAATAGAGATACTGGGGTGCAAATTAGCAAAATAAATAACAATATGGGGATGAGGTAGTTGGGTGGGCTAATTTCAGAATGGCTGTGTACAGGTGCAGTGATCAGTAAGCTGCTCTGACAACTGACGCTTAAAGTTAGTGAGGGAGATAAGAGTCTCCAGCTTCAGAGATTTTTGCAGTTCGTTCCAGTCATTGGCAGCAGAGAACTGGAAGGAATGGCGGCCAAAGGAGGTGTTGGCTTTGGGGATGACCAGTGAGATATACCTGCTGGAGCGCAGACTACAGGTGGGTGTTGCTATGGTGACCAGTGAGCTAAAATGGGGATTTGCCTAGCAGTGATTTATAGATGACCTGGAGCCAGTGGGTTTGGCGACGAATATGTAGTGAGGGCCAGCCAACAAGAGCGTACAGGTCACAATGGTGGGTAGTATATGGGGCTTTGGTGACAAAACGGATGGCACTGTGATAGACTACATCAAATTTGCTGAGTAGAGTGTTGGAGGCTATTTTGTAAATGACATCGCCAAAGTCAAGGATCGGTAGGATAGTCAGTTTTACGAGGGCATGTTTGGCAGCATGAGTGAAGGAGGCTTTGTTGCGAAATAGGAAGCCAATTCTAGATCTAACTTTTGATTGGAGATGCTTAATGTGAGTCTGGAAGGAGAGTTTACAGTCTAACCAGACACCTAGGTATTTGTAGTTGTCCACATACTCTAGGTCAGACCCGCCGAGAGTAGTGATTCTAGTCGGGTGGGCGGGTGCAAGCAGCGTTCGGTTGAAGAGCATGCATTTAGTTTTACTAGTGTTTAAGAGCAGTTGGAGGCTACGGAAGGAGTGTTGTATGGCGTTGAAGCTCGTTTGGAGGTTTGTTAACACTGTGACCAATGAAGGGCCAGATGTATACAAAATGGTGTCGTCCACATAGAGGTGGATCCGAGCGTCACCAGCAGCAAGAGCAACATAATTGATATACACAGAGAATAGAGTCGGCTAAAAGCTACGGCTAAAGGCTTTAAGTACTGGTCTTCTAGTGCGTTGGGTACAGAGAAAAAAAGGGTCAGATTTCCGGGCGTTGTAGAATAGATTCAGGGCATTATGTACAGACAAGGATATGGAAGGATATGAGTACAGTGGAGGTAAACCTAAGCGTTGGGTAACGATGAAAGAGATAGCATCACTGGAGGCACTGATTGAGTCGGTCTCCGCATGTATGGGGGGTGGGACAAAGGAGCTATCTAAGGCAGGTTGAGCTGGGCTGGGGGATCTGCAGTGAAATAGTACAATAAGAAATAACCGAAACAGCAATAAGCAAGGCATATTGACATGGGATAGAGGCATAAAGCAATCACAGGTGTTATTCGAGAGAGCTAAGACAACAGCTGGTAATGGCGACAAAGTTTGGCCTGAGGCTAAATATAAACAGGATGCGGTACCGAATAAAGGAACAGTCCAGCAGGCATCAGCTGTATAGCTGAGTTATCATAAGGTCCGGTGAACAGCAATAGGAGAGTTCGGAGGTAGTTCAGGGGCTGCTACAGCACTGGTGAGCAAGAGGCCACGGCTTGCATGTGCTAGCGGGCCGGGGCTAGCGGATGGATCTTCGTGGTCGACGTCGTAACGGGAAGCCTGTTGATTTATTTCAATTGACTGATTTCCTTATATGAACTGTAACTCAGTAAAATCTTTGAAACTATTGTATGTTGCGTTTATATTGTTGTTCAGTATAGTTTTAACCATGTTTTGAGGCTATATAGTGTTTGTTTACATTTACTTTGTTTAAACATTGGAGTAAAACAAGCTTATATTTTGGATCTGATGGGGTACGACAGTTGAACTAAGCTCATGAGGAATTTATAAGATATATTCTTCAAGAATCAATGGGTACATAGTGTCACGCCCTGGCTCTGGGACTCTGTTATGTTGAGCCAGGGTGTGTTGTTTCTATGTGTTTTGTGTGCTAGGGTGATTGTCTAGTTCATTTGTTTCTATGTTGGCCGGTGTGGTTCTCAATCAGAGGCAACGTGTATCAGCTGTTGCTTGTTGTCTCTGATTGGGGACCATACTTAGGCAGCCTGTTTTCCACAGTGTGTTGTGGGATCTTGTTCCGTTTGGTTTGTGTAACCGTAGGACTTCACGTTTCGTATCGTTTGTTGTTTTGTTCGTGTGGTGACTCTAAAATGAAGTATGTTCACTTATCACGCTGCACATTGGTCCACTTCTATCAACGATCGTGACAGAAGATCCCACCATAACTGGACCAAGCAGCGTGTCCAGGAGCCAACGCCAGAGGTGAATCTAGCGGATATCCACCTCGACTGGGTCAAGCCGCGGGAGGAGGAGAGAGGCTGGACTTGGGAGCAGAGGAGCGAGAGTCTGGCGAGAGCCATGGAGGCCTGGCCCACGGGGAGGAGAGACGGTCAGAAAATTTTTAGGGGGGGGCTCACGCCGTGGACAACAGGGCAGGAGGAGGCCGCCAGGTTACGGGAGTCACTGGTCACCAGGGGGAAGGAGGATGTAGAGGCACGGCGAGAGGTACTGGGGTGTGTTGCCAGTCCGGTCCGGCCCGTTCCTGATCCCCGCGTAGGGCCAGTGGTGTGTGTCCCCAGTACGGTCCGGCTTGTTCCTGTCCCTCGCACCGAGCCTGAGGTGCGCGTCGCCAGCCCGGTCCGGCATGTTCCTGCCCCTCGCACCAAGCCTGTGGTGCGCGTCGCCAGCCCGGTCCGGCCTGTTCCTGCCCCTCGCACCAAGCCAGTGGTGCGCGTCGCCAGCCCGGTCCGGCCCGTTCCTGCTTCCCGCACCAAGCCAGTGGTGCGCGTCGTCAGCCCGGTCCGGCCCGTTCCTGCTTCCCGCACCAAGCCAGTGGTGCGCGTCGTCAGCCCGGTTCGGCCCATCCCTGCTCCCCGCACCAAGCCTGTGGTGCGCGTCGTTAGCCCGGTCCGGCCTGTTCCTGCTCCCCGCACCAAGCCAGTGGTGCGCTTCGTCAGCCCGGTTCGGCCCGTCCCTGCTCCCCGCACCAAGCCAATGGTGCGCGTCGTCAGCCCGGTCGGGCCTGTTCCTGCTCCCCGCACCAAGCCAGTGGTGCGCTTCGTCAGCCCGGTTCGGCCCGTCCCTGCTCCCCGCACCAAGCCTGTGGTGCGCGTCGTCAGTCCGGCACAGCCCGTGCCTGTTCCACCGGTGCCTGGTCCGGCACCGGTCAGCTGCTCCACTCCGGAGCTAGAGCAATCCGCTCCACCAGTGTTCAGTCCAGCTCCGGCCAGCAGGGCCAGACCGGACCAGGGGCGCTTTGGGGGGTTAGAGAGGGAGTGGGGGTCATGCCCGGAGCCGGAACCGCCTCCGAGGAGGAATGCCCACCCGGCCCTCCCCTGTTCGGTTTATGTTTGGCGCGGTCGCAGTCCGCGCCTTTGGGGGGGGGGTACTGTCACGCCCTGGCTCTGGGACTCTGTTATGTTGAGCCAGGGTGTGTTGATTCTATGTGTTTTGTGTGCTAGGGTGATTGTCTAGTTCATTTGTTTCTATGTTGGCCGGTGTGGTTCTCAATCAGAGGCAACGTTTATCAGCTGTTGCTTGTTGTCTCTGATTGGGAACCATACTTAGGCAGCCTGTTTTCCACAGTGTGTTGTGGGATCTTGTTCCGTTTGGTTTGTGTAACCGTAGGACTTCACGTTTCGTATCGTTTGTTGTTTTGTTCGTGTGTTGACTCTAATAAAAGAAGTATGTTCACTTATCACGCTGCGCATTGGTCCACTTCTATCGACGATCGTGACACATAGCCTTAATTTATAAGTCCAAAAATGGATGTAGCAACTGCAGATTGCCCCTTTGAGCCCATGTTTCTGGCCTTTTTATGTTTCATCATTCATTCACAAATACTTTTCACAATTACTTGATATAGATACACCATATTCTGTGAAATGTTTATTCATGACATATTAAGGAATGTATACAGAGCTGAAGCACTTAAATATAAACAAAATTCACACTAGACCTATAGTATAAGTACTCTCAGGGAATCATGACACTTTCTAAATGCAATTTTGCAGTTTTACCATGCAAAATTATTTGTGAAGCGTTTCTTTCAAACCATTCCAAACCTCAGATGATGCAGTCTTGAGCTACCTTTCAGAAGCATCCTCACATTAATGACTTTAATTACAAACTCACATTTGCTTCAATAAGGCTTGTTTAGCTGTTTACTGTAACTGCCTGTTGCTGAAGCTATCAGCTAGTGCCCAGACTAGTTCATAAGAAGCTCTTTGTCTATCTCAAAGAATGCATTGTGTGGCGTGGGGACAGAGTGTCTGTTGTCCCTGGTCTACTTGAGAGGCCCAGCAGCATCTGCGGTCACCTCAGGCAGAGATTTGTTGGATATGGAGTAATAAAAGACTCGCATGCGCTCCTCCACCTTCACAAAGCCTGGCCGGTCCTCATGTCTGAGAAGAGAAAGGTCAGACACTTTAGACGTGATGGCTCTACTTTTAAATGGGCAGCGGTGTGGCCTAGTAGCCTACTTCCAATGCCATGTGGTGTGAAAATGTATAGAAGGTCTCTAGTTTCTCACTTACTTGTATGTCCAGCAGTCCTTCATCAGTGCATACATTCTATCTGGACATCCAGATGGACATTCCATCCGGCTCCCACTGGCAATGAAACTGATCACCTCCGGACCTTTCATTTTCTGATCACATTTGGTAAAGACGCAGTTTAAGTTAATCTAGACAGCACTATTACAGTATAAATATTTAACTATAATGTGGTGTATATATACAGCTGAAGTCGGAAGTTTACATACACTTAGGTTGGAGTCATTAAAGCTCATTTTTCAACCACTCCACAAATTTCTTGTTAAGAAACTATAGTTTTGGCAAGTCAGTTAGGACATCTACTTTGTGCATGACACAAGTAATTTTTCCAACAATTGTTTACAAATTATTTCACTTATAATTCACTGTATCACAATTCCAGTGGGTCAGTGGGCACTAAGTTGACTGTGCCTTTAAACAGCTTGGAAAATTCCAGAAAATAATGTCATGGCTTTAGAAGCTTCTGATAGGCTAATTGACATAATTTGAGTCAGTTGGAGGTGTACCTGTGGATGTATTTCAAGGCCTACCTTCAAACTCAGTGCCTCTTTGTATGACATCATGGGAAAATCAAAAGAAATCAGCCAAGACCTCAGAAAAAAAATTGTAGACCTCCACAAGTCTGGTTCATCCTTGGTATCAATTTCCAAACGCCTGAAGGTACCACGTTCATCTGTACAAACAATAGTACGCAAGTATAAACACCATGGGACCACGCAGCCTTCATACCGCTCAGGAAGGAGACGCGTTCTGTCTCCGAGAGATTAACGTACTTTGGTGCGAAAAGTGCAAATCAATCCCAGAACAACAGCAAAGGACCTTGTGAAGATGCTGGAGGAAACAGGTACAAAATTATCTATATCCACAGTAAAACGAGTATCTATATTGACATAACCTGAAAGGCTGCTCAGCAAAGAATAAGCCACTGCTCCAAAACCACCATTAAAAAGCCAGAATATGGTGTGCAACTGCACATGAGGACAAAGATCGTACTTTTTGGAGAAATGTCCTCTGGTCTGATGAAACACAAACAGAACTGTTTGGCCATAATGACCATCGTTATGTTTGGAGGGAAAAGGGGAAGGCTTACAAGCCGAAGAACACCATCCCAACCGTGAAGCACGGGGGTGGCAGCATCATGCTGTGGGGGTGCTTTGCTGCAGGAGGGACTGGTGCACTTCACAAAATAGATGGCATCATGAGGGAGGAAACTTATGTGGATATATTGAAGCAACATCTCAAGACATCAGTCAGGAAGTTAAAGCTTGGTCGCAAATGGGTCTTCCAAATGGACAATGATCCCCAAGCATACTTCCAAAGTTGTGGCAAAAATGGCTTAAGGACAACAAAGTCAAGGTATTAGAGTGGCCATCACAAAGCCCTGACCTCAATCCTATAGAAAATGTGTGGGCAAAACTGAAAAAGCGTGTGTGAGCAAGGAGGCCTACAAACCTGACTCAGTTACACCAGCTCTGTCAGGAGGAATGGGCCAAAATTCACCCAACTTATTGTGGGAAGCTTGTGGAAGGCTACCTGAAACGTTTGACCCAAGTTAAACAATTTAAAGGCAATGCTACCAAATACTAATTGAGTGTATTTAAACTTCTGACCCACTGGGAATGTGATGAAAGAAATAAAAGCTGAAATAAATCTCTACTATTATTCTGACATTTCACATTCTTAAAATAAAGTAGTGATCCTAACTGACCTAAGACAGGGAAATTTTACTAGGATTAAATGTCAGGAATTGTGAAAAACTGAGTTTAAATGTATTTGGCTAAGGTGTATGTAAACATCCGACTTCAACTGTATCTTGCTGGTGCTGTACATATAGTACCTTGTATGGTTTTCCTCCGTAAGAAAAGGCTTCCCACATGGTGACACCAAAGCTCCAGACATCACTCTTGCTGGAGAACTTGTGGAAGTTCATGCATTCTGGAGCATACCACTTCAGCGGCCATTTACCTGCTGTGCGTGCCTATGTACCCACGCACGTACACACATGCATACCATACCACATTATAATGTATAAAGAACTGCAGAATTTGATTATATAAAACAGACCAACATTATAGCAGGCCTCCTGTAGCTCAGTTGGTAGAGCATGGCGCTTGCAACGCCAGGGTTGTGGGTTCGATTCCCACGGGGGGCCAGTATGAAAAATGTATGCACTCACTAACTGTAAGTCGCTCTGGATAAGAGCGTCTGCTAAATGACTAAAATGTAATAGCACATGATACGTGCAAAAGACTCCTACCTTGTAATAGTTGTCATCAGCACCCAAAGCCTTGGACAGACCAAAGTCACTGATCTTGGCAAACTGTTGGTTGACTAGCAGGACGTTGCGAGCTGCCAGGTCTCTGTGCACAAAGTTTTTCTCCTCCAGGTACTTCATTCCCATAGACACCTGGTGCATCAGCCCCACAATGTTCTCCACTGTGACCTTCTCCCTGAGAGGTAGAGGGACAGAAAGGGAACTCAAATAAACCTTTAGGGAAATTACAGTATGTCATGGTATTTAGCTTCACTTTGCTGAGCTCATGATCACTGTTTGAGCAATAGTAGTGCTATTATTAATTTCATTTCCATAACTCTATGATCAATGTCACTACTAAGAGAATAACATGCCTTATGATACTGTATATACTGTACTACACTATACGTGTGATATAATTGGCCTTACTTATTGGTGGAGAGGAACTTGTTGAGTGGCCCAGCAGAAGCCATCTCCATCACCAGCATCAGGCACTCAGCCTGGCAGAGCCCCAGCATGCGGACGATGTAAGGGTTACTCAGCTGGTGCATGATCTCCGCCTCCCTCATCATCTCATCTTTCACCAGCTTCTCATTCTCATTCTTCAGCACCTTGATGGCCACATCAGTGTGGCCGCTGGAACCACACAGGAATTAGTGATGTGTTATGAATAGGGCCCCATATTTTTCATAATTATAGCCTATAACTGGGGTCCAGAGTTTGTCCTGATCAGCTCATTTTGTCAGCAAAAATTATTATAAACCTCTCTGACCTAAAACGTAGTTATTGTTATAAATGGCTCTAGGCTGACGTTATAGGTTCTAAATCAGGATCTGATGTTCTGTTTGATTCATCCAAAAAGAAGCACCCCACCCCCCCTCACTTCTTTGTCTTGAAGACTCCTTTCTTGACACAGCCAAAGTTTCCCGAGCCGAGCTCCACCTCGTCCATCATCAGCTGATCCCTATTGATGAAGAACTTCTTCAGGTCATTGGGGTCATGGTAAGGGTTGACAAATTCACTGCAGTCCATGGGCAGCATCTGACGGTCTGTGGGGGGCAAAGTATTGACTTCCGTGGAGCCCCCCAGAGGTACTGTAAGAAAGGGACAAACCACAGGGAAATGTCTTCAAAACAAATTCTGTGATTTGTGTGTGTGTGGGTTTTGGTAGAAAGGCCATGTGTGTCTGTTGTAATGTTATTGACCTACCTCCAGGTGGCGGTGTGTATCCATTTGCTCTGGGCCGCCTCTGAAAGAAATGTACTGTATTCAATAGTAATATAATAATATATAATGTAATAATAATATATGCCATTTAGCAGATGCTTTTACACAATAGATCTGTGTGAAAGAAAATTAGAAAATGCTCTTGATACTTACCCCTGAGGGCACAACAGGAGTCTCTGAAAATGGATTTGAGAAATAAGAAAATTAATTCAATTGCATAAGGGACAAAGTTTAGTGAAACAATAAGAATTTGATGATTGTGATTCATTTGTGAACAAAATGTTGATTAAGTACGTTTGGTGTTGTTGCGGTTCACACACGGTTCCCTCAGAACTGTCACTAGCCCATCAGGTTTCATTTTCAGATACTCCACAAGCTGCAGAAGGGAGGGAGAGTGGCAGGGAAAGGTAACTATCTTTGTCTTAAACATGAGGTAGCAGACATAATAAACTTGGACTCATTTGTTGGAGAAGAGAGAACAGCCTACCTGCCACACAGTGTCAAATTTGGTTCCCTCTGGCATGGAGTACTTCCCTGATTTGTCATGTAGGATCTGGTAATGGTAGGCCGTTTTTCCGTACATCAAAGAAAGGGCAAAGGTGCCGGACTCTTCCCTGTCTCTGACTCTGATGAATAAAAACCCAAATCAAACTATGTTGCAGGTGTTTTTGGAACCTTTGTGTAGCGTTGGACTAAAATGCCTTTCATGACTCACAGGAACTTTCCATCTGGCTGTGCCCCGGAGTAGAGTCGCCTCTCTCCCTCCTGGCGAGGGATCTTGCCGTGGTACCAGGGCATCCTCTCATGGGCGGTGGTGGCGATCAGCTTCTCCAGCTGTGGGGCCTGGCTGATGATGGCCTGCTCCATGGCCTCCCCCTGAACACAGACACAAAGTCAGAAAGGCAACTACATCAGAGACAGTGTTTATGTGACTTCAGGCCCTGCTGCCTCTCATCCTGTGATATGTGGTTGTCTCTCCTAGCTATCTTAAGATGAATGCACTAATTGTAAGTCACTCTGGATAACAGTGTCTGCTAAATTACTCAAACGTAAAATGTAATTCAGCCAACCCTCACCTCCAGGTTCCAGGTCTGTCGTACGTACTCCCTCAGCATGTTGTCCCTCAGGTTATCAAAGACGCCTGCTCTGATGGGGTTGTCTGGGGAGCGCAGACAGGGCTTCCTCAGGGTGCACACCAGGCCATCTGAATCCTTACTGTAAAACTCACAGAGCTCCGCTGGCCCACAGTGGGGCTTGCCACCTGCAATACAGTAGGTGCTGTTGAGCTGCTTCTCCACAGAGTAGTGGTGGAACTCCAAGTTCCAAACCAGGGAGACCACGTAGCCACCCAGGCTCCGCAAACACTGGCGCAGCAGGAACAGCCCGTCGGCCATGCCTGCCAACTTCAGGTGCTCCTCAGCCTCCGAACGACTGATGCTGCCGTAGAAGAAAGGCAGCTCTGCCGCAGGGTCTATCGCCATGTCTGAGTCTCCTCAGGTAGTACGAGGGAAGACTCCTCAGTTGGAAGGGTTGGAGATGGCTGGAGGCTCCTGGTTAAAGATCTATACAGTGGGGAAAAAAAGTATTTAGTCAGCCACCAATTGTGCAAGTTCTCCCACTTAAAAAGATGAGAGAGGCCTGTAATTTTCATCATAGGTACACGTCAACTATGACAGACAAATTGAGAGAAAAAAATCCAGAAAATCACATTGTAGGATTTTTTATGAATTTATTTGCAAATTATGGTGGAAAATAAGTATTTGGTCACCTACAAATAAGCAAGATTTCTGGCTCTCACAGACATGTAACTTCTTCTTTAAGAGGCTCCTCTGTCCTCCACTCGTTACCTGTATTAATGGCACCTGTTTGAACTTGTTATCAGTATAAAAGACACCTGTCCACAAGCTCAAACAGTCACACTCCAAACTCCACTATGGCCAAGACCAAAGAGCTGTCAAAGGACACCAGAAACAAAATTGTAGACCTGCACCAGGCTGGGAAGACTGAATCTGCAATAGGTAAGCAGCTTGGTTTGAAGAAATCAACTGTGGGAACAATTATTAGGAAATGGAAGACATACAAGACCACTGATAATCTCCCTCGATCTGGGGCTCCACGCAAGATCTCACCCCGTGGGGTCAAAATGATCACAAGAACGGTGAGCAAAAATCCCAGAACCACACGGGGGGACCTAGTGAATGACCTGCAGAGAGCTGGGACCAAAGTAACAAAGCCTACCATCAGTAACACACTACGCCGCCAGGGACTCAAATCCTGCAGTGCCAGACGTGTCCCCCTGCTTAAGCCAGTACATGTCCAGGCCCGTCGGAAGTTTGCTAGAGTGTATTTGGATGATCCAGAAGAGGATTGGGAGAATGTCATATGGTCAGATGAAACCAAAATATAACTTTTTGGTAAAAACTCAACTCGTCATGTTTGGAGGACAAAGAATGCTGAGTTGCATCCAAAGAACACCATACCTACTGTGAAGCATGGGGGTGGAAACATCATGCTTTGGGGATGTTTTTCTGCAAAAGGACCAGGACGACTGATCCGTGTAAAGGAAAGAATGAATGGGGCCATGTATCGTGAGATTTTGAGTGAAAACCTCCTTCCATCAGCAAGGGCATTGAAGATGAAACGTGGCTGGGTCTTTCAGCATGACAATGATCCCAAACACACCGCCCGGGCAATGAAGGAGTGGCTTCGTAATAAGCATTTCAAGGTCCTGGAGTGGCCTAGCCAGTCTCCAGATCTCAACCCCATAGAAAATATTTGGAGGGAGTTGAAACTCTGTGTTGCCCAGCGACAGCCCCAAAACATCACTGCTCTAGAGGAGATCTGCATGGAGGAATGGGCCAAAATACCAGCAACAGTGTGTGAAAACCTTGTGAAGACTTACAGAAAACGTTTGACCTGTGTCATTGCCAAAAAAGGGTATATAACAAAGTATTGAGAAACTTTTGTTATTGACCAAATACTTATTTTCCACCATAATTTGCAAATAAATTCATTAAAAATCCTACAATGTGATTTTCTGGATTTTTTTTTCTCATTTTGTCTGTCATAGTTGACGTGTACCTATGATGAAAATTACAGGCCTCTCTCATCTTTTTAAGTGTGAGAACTTGCACAATTGGTGGCTGACTAAATACTTTTTTTCCCCACTGTATATAGAGAGAGAATGGAAAATAAATAATAATACTCAAATTACCAAAAATAATACTAACTACAGTATACATGTGTTTTTCTAATTGAGGTTGTTGATGAGGTACAGTCTTCAGCCTTTATCATAACTCACATTGAGCCTCCATCTCATGGACCCAGATGAGTGACTGAGGTATTTGTGTGGTTGGGATGTTCAATGTGCAGTAATTGAGAGAGAGAGTATGTGTGTTTCTCTGCACCGGCACAGGCTGGTGTTAAGCACAGCCACAACAGGAAGTTGACAACCGCCCCCATCCTCCTTCTCCAATCTCTCTTTAGTTTCTCACTCTTCCGTTGAGCAGGTGCTGCTGTTTCTCGAATGTTCCCTAAGCTTTTCAACACACTAGTGACTAATTTCCATGAAGATTAAGGGAACAGATATAATTTTTTGATAAATGAAAATACAGAAACAAACAGATGTAAAGCCCCCAACTTGTGCTTTTAACTGACTATCGGGAGAATGTAAAAGAAACCCCAAGTATAGACTACAGTCTGTGTGATTAGCATCACAGCATTTTGTTTCTGTTCTACTGCGAGGTAGCTTTATTCGATAACAAGCGGGAAAAGCCTGTTGGTGGGCAATACACAGATGAGTATCATGATAACTTTCAAAACACGCCAGACATCTATCAGGATACCATGATATTCACACACACAATCAGAAATAAAAGGAGCTTGGTAGACTAAATAAACATAGGCATTGAATCAGTTAACATAGTGATTCTTTCATTTAGTGAGTTTTCTATTTGAAGTCTTCATATAACTTCCCCTTTTCTTTTCGTTTGACACCCCCATTTTGGAAAAAGAAAGCTTTAGCTAAACATGTTTTCCAATCTGTTGGTGTGAGTCATAGGTTAGGGTGGTTTTCCTTGGATTGGTTTGTAGTTTTAATGACCTGCCAAAATTAAACTTCAGTTTAGTACATGATACACAATACTACTAGCTTCTTATGGGAAAACTTCATGGCCAATATTAGATTTTTGTTTCAGAGATCTGAAGTCCTGTGCTTGGTGAAAGGATTCTCTGAGGTGGGGTATGTCAAAAGGGGAGAATGTAAGGACTGTATCACCTGAAGCTTGTGTCTATGCTTAAAAGCATAGTGTGATTTAACCACAGTTTCCTGGGCGTACCTGTGACAGGCTGCCCACATCCACGGTGGACACACAGACACAGAGCCACAGAGAGCCGCAATGTGCCACAACACACACAGACTCCACCATGGTCTGAGAACTTCAAACCCCCCCTCACCACACGGTAAAATGACAGTGGTCTTTACATGTTGTGAATGGCTCAAACTGAGCTGGCTAGTGTTTAGTTTTATTTCCTGTCTTTTTATCCTGGTATTATATGAGCTGAATTTAACAGCTAAAACCCTGAATGACAGAATAAAGTACTTGAGAATAACCATAAAAGTCAGTTCCCATGAAAATTGAAAGATGTTAAGCATAAAGACCAATCTGTCAGAGAAGACAAATTGTCAACGAGAGAGTTGTTGTCTAGGAAATGTCCACATTTTATTTTCTAGTTCCCTGAATTTATGAGTGAACACATAGACAAAACCATAAATGTCTCACCACTAGCCCCCCCACCCCATCCTTTTTACGCTGCTGCTACTCTGTTAAGTATTTATGCATAGTCACTTTAACTCTACCCACATGTACATATTGCCTCAACTGCCTCAACTGGCCGGTGCCCCCGCACATTGACTATGCAACGGTACCCCCCTGTATATATAGCCTCCCTACTGTCACTTTATTCTATTGTATATATAGCCTCCCTACTGTCACTTTATTTTTTACTTCTGCTCTTTTTTTCTCAACACTTTTTTGTTGTTGTTTTATTCTTACTTTTTTGTTTAAAATAAATGCACTGTTGGTTAAGGGCTGTAAGTAAGCATTTCACTGTAATGTCTGCACCTGTTGTATTCGGTGCATGTGACCAATAAAATTTGATTTGATTTGATTTGATTTGATTTGGAATTGGAGCATAAATATGCTGTTTGCTTTTGACCACCCCAATTCTTTTCCCTCATCTTGCTTTCCTTCCAGCTCAGAACAGACCATCTAAATGGAGATCAACTTCTGATAAGGGAATCCACCATATCTTATCTTTTAAACTATTTCTGAATGTTATACTGCTTCCAAGAGGGAAACAAACCAAGCAATACATTTTTTCGTAACAACATATAGAGCCCCCCCCCCATGTTACTTTACAAGAGACTGACAGTGTGATGGATATTTAACTACATCAGCACTTTTCAAAATACACTACAAACATTACCATGCCGTTAATATTCAAACATGAGTTACTTTCCAGCTAAATGACTGTTTTCCTACAAGACATTAGGACCACATCGAAAACAGCTGTAGGCCTATACTCTCCCCTGGAAGGCCATGCACTCTCAGTACTGTGCTTTTCCTGGAGGTTGTTTGGGGTTAACAGCTGAGCCAGTACAGGGCACACAGTACCAGCCTCAGCAGGCTGAAGGCTGTAGCTTTAAAGAGCGGGGAGATAACAGAGCAGCAACCCTCCTGTGTTCTGACGCACAGGCAGGCTGAAGGCTGTAGCTTTAAAGAGCGGGGAGATAGCAGAGCAGCAACCCTCCTGTGTTCTGACGCACAGGCAGGCTGAAGGCTGTAGCTTTAAAGAGCGGGGAGATAGCAGAGCAGCAACCCTCCTGTGTTCTGACGCACAGGCAGGCTGAAGGCTGTAGCTTTAAAGAGCGGGGAGATAGCAGAGCAGCAACCCTCCTGTGTTCTGACGCACAGCTTTTTCCATGCAGGTACAAGTGGCTTTGAGCTCTACAGAAAGAATGCCCTATCCACTGCAGCACATGATGGAGGGCCCTTGGTTTGCCTATAAGACATGACATTCATCAACTATTAGCAGTTTATTCAGGGTTGCTAAATTAGTTCATTGGCTCATGGCCATGAACTGTAACGATAATAATGTATATTTGCCTTGTATTTCATATAATCATAGTAAGATAAATAATAACCCACACTTTGTTTTGTCTTTGAATTGGATTCAAATGATCATTCAAAATAAACTTTATATATCAGGAGTGGTATCAGTTTTGTAAGTTATGCTAACAAAAACCTTCCTAAATCATTAGATATACAATACCCAGCTATTTTTAGGTATTGCTTTGGCAATTATGCACTTAACAAAACATTTAAAATCAGGCGAACATCTAATAAATTAGGCTTATCAAAACATGTCTAAATATATACATGTGTTCAATGCAGCATGTTTTCTATTTTCTTATATAATTCTAGGCCTCTAGAACAGATAAACCACACCATGTTGCTTAATAATACCTGCAGTGTTTTGTAGAAACAACCACACAAATATGCCTACAAACATCAAGCGTTGGCCTACATTCAAATGGTGGGAGGTCTCTAGTAAGTGGTTAATTTAAAAATGAAGTCAGTGGGCCAGACTGCTACCTTATAAATTGCTTACATCAATGGAAAATCGAAGAGACTCCAATGCGCATATTTTTCCTATAGGTCTACGTAGAAGATTATTGTCAATTTCAAATCAAGCTTTTTGAATTTCGTTTCCTGCTTTTGTTTTATGAACATGCAACCCGCAAAGTGCTAACTGTTGACTTGCTGGGTTTCTGAGAGTGGCCCCTCATCCAACTATATTTAACCAGTCGAGCTTAAGACCAAACCTAAGAGGATAATTAAGTATTTGTGAGACCTAGCTCTTTCCCTGGAATGACAACACATCATTCTCAGTGATCTGGGTGGTGGCATCTCTGTAAAGAGTTGAGCTACACATGGGCCCAAAAGTCAGCCGCACATCCTCAGGACACTAGTTAAGCCAGGGCCCTATCGCAACAGGCAAATCATGTTGTATTTTAAAGACATTCCATTGCATTGGTTGAACTGGATTACATTAGGTCCGTAAATGTCACAGAAGGTTGGTCTGTCATCTAGACGAGAATGAGTCTCTGTTAAAAATAATATAAAAAGACAGCACCTTATTTTCATACAAAGCACAGTATTGGTAATCTATTTTGTAATAATTATCTGATTACATGTGCCAACAAGTCTCAAAATATAATCTATAATTCAAAAGAAAGTTACAAGCAATAAACGACACACATAGAACACTTGTGTATGCCCACTTGAAAATCGTACCCCCTTTAGGCTTTCTCTTCATATACACAATGAAAACAACTATTTATAAATATAATCTCTACTTTTGAAGCCACAGCTAGAATGTCTTTGCCGCACTGTGGTGAACACATTTTGCCATTGTTACAGCATAAACTCTGCTAAATGAAACGTATTAACAGTTTTAAATGTGTTCAAGGCACTGGTTATAAGGGAACAGACATTTCCAGAACAATCTTTTATATATATTATTGATATAAATTCTCTCTAAAATATTGTATTGATACACTTCAAAGTCGATTAAAGTAATAGAATTTCAACTTGATTCTCCATCTCCAAAAGACAGCATCAACAAAAGCCTTGTTATATATATAATCCTATTTACTCCATTGCAAATAAGTAAATAAAAACACAGGACTGACTTAAGACGCACTCACCATAAACTATTTCACTGGAACCAAGGGAAGAGAAGTCAGGCAGGTTGGCCTCAGAGAGAGAGTAGTTGAGTCTGGTGACAGAGCAGAGGCATCAGTGCTACTATGAGGGTGCAGGAAAACTATGTAGGTTGATTGATACAGTCCTGGAATCTTCACAGAGACACTAACCGACTTCCTTACATCAGCTACATGAAGTGACAGCAGTTCTCTATACAGCCATCTGAAGCAGCAGCCCCAGTCTTCTGTTTCCACCTGTAGCCTGCCACAACAACCCTCCAGCAGTGAGGCTATGATGGAGATTTTAATGGTTAGATGGAACATGGAATACACTGCATTTGGAAAGTATTCAGACCGCTTGACTTTTTCCACATTCTGTTACGTTACAGCCTTATTCTAAAATTGATTAAATTGTTTTTTCCCCTCATCAATCTACACACAAAACCCCATAATGATAAAGCAAAAACAGGTTTTTAGAAATTTTAGCAAATTTATTAAAAATATAAAACTGAAATATCACATTTACTTAAGTAAGTATTCAGACCCTTTACTCAGTACTTTGTTGAAGCACCTTTGGCAGCGATTACAGCCTCGAGTCTTCTTAAGTATGACGCTACAAGCTTGGCACATCTGTATTTGGGGAGTTTCTCCCATTCTTCTTTGCAGATCCTCTCAAGCTCTGTCAGGTTTGATAGGGAGCGTCACTGCACAGCTATTTTCAGGTTTCTCCAGAGATTTTCGATCGGGTTCACGTCCGGGCTCTGGCTGGGCCACTCAAGGACATTCAGAGACTTGCCCCGAAGCCACTCCTGCATTGTCTTGGCTGTGTGCTTAGGGTCGTTGTCCTGTTGGAAGGTGAACCTTCGCCCCAGTCTAAGGTCCTGAGCAGGTTTTCATCAAGGATCTCTCTGTACTTTGCTCCGTTCATCTTTCCCTCGATCCTGACTAGTCTCCCAGTCCCTGCTGCTGAAAAACATCCCCACAACATGATGCTGCCACCACCATGCTTCACTGTAGGGATGGTGCCAGGTTTCCTCCAGATGTGACGCTTGGCATTCAGGCCAAAGAGTTCAATCTTGGTTTCATCAGACTGAGAGTCCTTTAGGTGCCTTTTGGCAAAATCCAAACGGGTTGTCATGTGCCTTTTACTGAAGAGTGGCTTCCGCCTGGCCATTCTACCATAAAGGCCTGATTGGTGGAGTGCTGCAGAGATGGTTGTCCTTCTGGAAGGTTCTCCCATCTCCACAGAGGAACTCTGGAGCTCTGTCAGTGTGACCATCGGGTTCTTGGTCACCTCCCTGACCAAGGCCCTTCTCCCCCGATTGCTCAGTTTGGCCAGGCTTCCAGCTCTAGGAAGAGTCTTGGTGGTTCCAAACTTCTTCCATTTAAGAATGATGGAGGCCACTGTGTTCTTGGGGACCTTCAATACTGTAGAAATGTTTTGCTACCCTTTCCCAGATCTGTGCCTCGACACAATCCTGTCTTGGAGCTCTACGGACAATTCCTTCGACCTCATGGCTTGGTTTTTGCTCTGACATGCACTGTCAACTGTGGGACCTTATATAGACAGGTGTGTGCCTTTTCAAGTCATGTCCAATCAATTGAATTTACCACAGGTGGACTCCAATCAAGTTGTAGAAACGTCTCAAGGATGATAAATGGAAACAGGATGCACCTGAGCTCAATTTTCGACTCATAGAAAAAGGTCTGAATACTTATGTAAATAAGGTATTTCTGTTTTTTTATTTTTAATACATTTGCAAAAATTTCTAAAAACCTTGTTTCGCTTTGTCATTATGGGGTATTGTGTGTAGATTGATGAGGGAAAAAATAATGTTATACATTTTAGAATAAAGCTGTAACATAACAAAATGTGGAAAAGATAAAGGGGTCTGAATACTTTCCGAATGCACTGTATGTTGGAGGCCACGTTTCAAAACAGGGCAAATGCATTGTCTACCATACCTTACAAAAAAAAGTTTGAATAAGGCCATGCTCAAAATCAACTACAGAGGGTGGTCTGGATTAAAGGAGACGTTCACTATATTTGAACCAAATCTATATTTTCGATGTAAATGACATTATTATAGAAGTGCCTAGATCTTTGTGATCTTACTTGTTTGTTTTTGAGAAACAGTGATATACTTCCTCATGCTTGTTCAGAAGTTGTAGGGGCACAGAAAAACCTGAACAAAGGCTCCATAAACACTCAAATACTTCCTTTTAGAAACGGCAACGCTCTCAGTATAGTGATGCAGGTCTTTAGATGTTGTACACATGAAATTGTGCAATTCAGACTTTATCCCTAATCCTATATTCCATTCTGTGCGAGTCAAACGGTTTCCCCTACCAGCTGTGCTGCGGAATGGAATATAACATTGCAGATACATTTACATTGTGGATAGAGATTTGGTTCAAATAAAGTGAACTTCTCCTTTAACTATTCAGGTAACTACACTGTCATCATAACTAATAACCCTGCTATAGTAGCCTACTGTTACTACTAGGTCATATAGCACCTACTACAGCAACATCACCCCACCAGGCCTGGCAGTGCAACCTTTACATGTATGCCGGCATTAGTCATGTAAATGCCATAGGCCTATTCTGGGTAAAGTCATAAATGATGAATACTCCGATTAAAACATCTAGAGTTTTGAGCTATCTATCGAATGAATAGGACAAGTAAACATCTAGCTCAGGGGTGTCTAACTAATTTTGCCTCGGGGCCGCATTCGGTCTTCAACGAGGTCCTCTGTAGCTCAGCTGGTAGAGCACGGCGCTTGTAACGCCAAGGTAGTGGGTTCGATCCCCGGGACCACCCATACACAAAAATGTATGCACGCATGACTGTAAGTCGCTTTGGATAAAAGCGTCTGCTAAATGGCATATTAATTAATTAATATTAATAATTAATTAATTAATTAGGTCCGAACTAAAACTTCCTTGCTGTCAAAATTTGCAAAAAATAGTCCGCTATCCACCTAGCTAATCGGAATTTCTGCAGTGTGTTTAATCTTTGAATGTCCTAAAGCAAACTGCACCAGTGAAAACAAGGAAGTGAGTTCGAAAAATCTGAAAGTAGGATATCCTACACATCATAGAAATGTTTTTCACAAACTTTAGCCCTATATTTCCAAAATCAATTTGGCTTCTCAAAAATAAAATTGTCGGTGATAAAACGTTTCTTTTTAATAGAATCCCCATAAGAGCCAGATGTAGCAGGCTCTCTCGCGCCATGTAAACCAGGTTATTATGGAAGTCGCTTTTCTTGCAAGCATGATGTATAGCTGAACTTTTTCATCGAAATATTATATTGTAAACGTAGTCGGTCCATTGGAACAAAATGTATGTCTATATATGTTGTTGCATACGTTTGGTTGTAGTTGTGTTATAAACATCCCCTTGGGCCCCCTCTGTTTTCTGTAGCCAAAAATCTTTGGTGGAGCTCCTCGGTGCGTACGGACGCTAGCGTTACCATTTTCACTTCCGGGTCTTGTACGCAGCAGTGAGAGCTAGCGAGCAGGCACCCACCGCGTTTCTGTGGCAGTGGGACCCTGGGAGCAGGAGAGGTCCACTCACCTACGATCCTCGGCGCAATACAGACATAACTTTTCAAGCCAACTGACACGTCTTAAAGGAGAACAGGAGAAAGACATCGCAAACCCTGAGAGGCAACCATAGTGAACTTTGACAGGGAGAAGAAAAAGGTACTGGACTCTCATTATACACTTATTTTAAACACATCTTTCGTAAACCCAGTGTGCACTTTTCTGTAGGCTATATTATGAGAGCACAGTCCATTCCGCAAAAATGCTTGACGACTTTTTTAGAAGTCTTCCATATTGATTTTAAAGCTATTTAAAGTCATTTTTCACAACTCAAAAATAACCATGGAATTATCAGGTAGAGTCAGACCATGATATTTTGTGATGGGCTTGATTTCTCAGTGAAGTATAATCTTTTGAATTGTATATTAACAACATTGTCGGGAGTATTTCCTTGTTTAATTGCATTGAGGTTAATGAAGAAACTGTCATGGACCCAAAACACTTTCCCCCATATAGATTCAGTTGAGTGAAATGGGGACTGTTATTTGAAAAGCTGAACCCATAGGTTGTGGGCTATGAGAAACAGTGCTTGTCTGATGCCAGGGAGCAGCAGCAGCATATAGTGTCAAATGGCACATGCCCATAGTTCTATGAGGGTTTCTGATGGGTGAGGGAGCAAGCAATGCTCCTGCAAGAGTTGGAGAAGGAATAGGCAGAAGGGGATTCTTCAGGACATCAGCGAACTACTGCACTGCTAAAAAGTGTTTGATGAATATTTGTGTGCTTGGGTGATATATCGCTCTGTCTGTCTATCTGTCTCTCTCTCTGTCTCTCTCTCTCTCTCTCTCTCTCTCTCTCAAACACACACGCACACACACACGTCAAACTAATATATAAAAAAACACAAATCAAGTACCTTGAAGGAGTTGCGTAGTGATTCATTGCACAGTGAACACAGAGTTGTATATCTGGTACAAGCAGTCCATACAGATACTCCCCGCCCCCCTCCCCCACAATGCTCCTCTTCCTCAGACAATTTTCAGATTTATGAGACTGACCCAGAAGTGAACTAGTGCTGACATTATGCTTGTTGTGATGAGTGTGATGAAAGGAGCCAGGCGTAGGAGGGTAATTACCGAATACAGAGTTTATTCCTTCGTTGACACACAAATGCGCTCAAATAGCGATCAACGAAACAGGCACAGGGGAAACTCTCATCCCTGGCAAATACACTGTAACGGTAGAATCCCATAATACATAGGCACAGGGGAAAATCTACCCTGGCAACAAAATGTACGAGTAGCTCCACCGAGCTACACTACTCTCACATTCAAACAATCACCCACAAGGACAAGGGGGCAGAGGGAACACTTATACACGGACTAATGAGGGGATTAGAACCAGGTGTGTGTGATTGACAAGACAAATGTGATGATGATTGGGGCAGCAGTGGTTAGTAAGCTGGTGACGACGAACGCCGAAGCCTGCCCGAACAAGGAGGGGAGGCAGTCTCGGCCGAAGTCGTGACACTTTAAGTTTTGGTCATATTGTGAATACCTTTCACATCCAGTACCTTCACCATGGTAGGGCTGTCCAGTGTTTGATCTGCATGTGAGGTTCCTAAGTCTCTCTCAACTGACTGGGGGGGGGTTTGGAGAAATTGAAAGAGGAATGCCTCTACACCAAAGACCTAGTGTTTAGACTGAGATCTTCCTTTATCTTCCATATTATTTTATCACCTCATCTGTTGTTTGTTGTGGAAGGCTTAACATGGGGGAGTCATGTGAATTGAGCTTGCTTTTCTAAGCCACTTCTGAGGGAATGACTGCTGTCAGGGTGATACAAGTATCTAGGCTATGTGCTTCGTGAGCTCCCAGCTTTCACTTAGTGTTGATGTGTTTACAGTATAGTGAAGAGGCCACACTCTCCCCTACTTGAATATAACTCAGAAATGACATAATATGAGAGAGTGAAGAGTCAGTGTAATATAAGAAAGGAGAGACAGGAGGAGTGGACAATCCTGTTGCCTGGTTCACCAACTACTTCTCAGATAGAGTTCAGTGTGTCAAATCGGAGGGCCTGTTGTCTGGACCTCTGGCAGTCTCTATGGGGGTGCCACAGGGTTCAATTCTTGGGCCGACACTTTTCTCAGTGTATATCAATGATGTCGCTCTTGCTGCTGGTGACTCTCAGATCCACCTCTACGCAGACGACACCATTTTGTATACATCTGGCCCTTCATTGGACACTGTGTTAACAAACCTCCAAACGAGCTTCAATGCCATACAACACTCCTTCAGTAGCCTCCAACTGCTCTTAAACACTAGTAAAACTAAATGCATGCTTTTCAATCGAACGCTGCTGGCACCCGCCCACCCGACTAGAATCACCACTCTTGACGGGTCTGACCTAGAGTATGTGGACAACTACAAATACCTAGGTGTCTAGTTAGACTGTAAACTCTCCTTCCAGACTCACATAAAGAATCTCCAAACCAAAGTTAAATCTAGAATCGGCTTCCTATTTCGCAACAAAGCCTCCTTCACTCATGCTGCCAAACATGCCCTCGTAAAACTGACTATCCTACCGATCTTTGACTTCGGCGATGTCATTTACAAAATAGCCTCCAACACACTACTCAGCAAATTGGATGTAGTCTATCACAGTGCCATCCGTTTTGTCTCCAAAGCCCCATACGCTACCCACCACTGTGACCTGTACGCTCTTGTTGGCTGGTCCTCACTACATGTTCGTCGTCAAACCCACTGGCTCCAGGCCATCTATAAATCACTGCTAGGCAAATCCCCGCCTTATCTTAGCTCATTGGTCACCATAGCAGCACCCACCCGTAGTCTGCGCTCCAGCAGGTATATCTCACTGGTCATTCCCAAAGCCAACACCTCCTTTGGCCGCCATTCCTTCCAGTTCTCTGCTGCCAATGACTGGAACGAATTGCAAAAATCTCTGAAGCTGGAGACTCTTATCTCCCTCACTAACTTTAAGCATCAGTTGTCAGAGCACCTTACCGATCACTGCACCTGTACACAGCCCATCTGAAATTAGCCCACCCAACTACCTCATCCCTATATTGTTATTTATTTTGCTCTTTTGCACCCCAGTATCTCTATTTGCACATAATCTCTTGCACATCTAGCATTCCAGTGTTAATACTATTGTAATTATTTTGCACTATAGCCTATTTATTGCCTTACCTCCATAACTTGCTACATTTGCACACACTGTATATATATTTTCTGTTGTATTTTTGACTTTATGTTTTTTACCCCATATGTAACTCTGTGTTGTTTTTATCGCACTGCTTTGCTTTATCTTGGCCAGGTCGCAGTTGTAAATGAGAACTTGTTCTCAACTGGCTTACCTGGTTAAATAAAGGTGAAAAAAAAAAAAAAAAAATTCATAGTGGTTTTGATTAGTGTTTTAAATTCTGCCTGTCTGGACGCTTCCTGGCAGCTTCACTATAGATAGTCTGCAAAAACATACTTTTCACTGCCTTTTCCAATGCAGTAGATATGTTGAAAAGCTTATGGTCCAGACTACATTATGACTTTGGCCCACCCTGAAATTGCAATTTACAATCCCCTGTACAACGTTTCTCCTGTTGTTAACAAATACCTCCTTGTCTTGCTTGTAAATATCACTCTGACCACATTGTAATTGTGCTGTATGCAGCCCATTCCAATTCCTGAACTCACCATGCCCACAATTAGGCATTCAAATTGGTCAAAGGTAGGCTACTCAGTAATTACAAAGTAATTACAGCATCATAATTACAGCATTACAAAGTAATTACAGCATCATAGTTGTATTGGCCGAATGACAAACACATCAAGATTATTTTTCCGAAAGGAAAACTGTTGCACAACAGATCCTCAAAGACAAATGACAAAATCACAATCAAGAGATTGTGAAAATTTCCATTCAACCATTTTTGTTATGTTTCCTAACTGAACAAGGATTTAGTGAGTGTAGGGAGAACTTAAAGACAGTCAGTAAAGCTTTTAAGCAGCCTTGTTTAAAAACACAAAGACAATCATAGGGGGTCCGATTAAATAAACAAGATGAGAAAGAGTTTTAATGAACACATTTGATATCTTGCTGCAAGTCTAATAACCCCACAATAACATGAGACTCCAACAAGAAGTAATGAAAATGAAGGAGAGTTTGGCCAATCAGGAAATGACTGAAAACATCCTGGAGGGAGGGGGCGGAAGGGGCGAAGAGAGGGAGCGAGGGAGGGCTGTGGAGATGGAGAGAGGAGAGGAGCTTACAGTTGCTACACATTTGAGTGGGAGCACAAAGCCCCCTTAGTGTTTTAGGACCTCATACTGTATTATACCATGAACTGCTGCTCTGCTGCTCTGTATGCTCTGGGACCCAGGGAACCAGAGGCACATTAAGCGGTGGGGGGGGGGGGGTTGCAAAGATTTTCGCTCTCTCTCCCTTTCTCTCTCACATACACACTTTTTTTTACTATCCTTTTGGGGACCAAACAATTAATTCCCATTCAAAATCATATTTTCACCCAGGACTTCTGGTCCCCACAAGGATAGTAAAACCAAACACACATACACACACAAATACAAACACACAACAACACTTATTCATAGCCAGTGTGTTAGTATTCAAGAATGTCTCTCCCAGCTGGACTAAACAGCACACTCTCTCCCATCTCTCTTTCAGCCCCTTGAGCTTTGCACTCCCTTTTAGTTTTTTTATTGTCAGGAGGCAAGCAACTTGTTCCCTCACGCTTGTCGCCAAATCATTTCCCATCTGCTTCCGATTACCTTTGCCTGCAGTTGATTTGCCGCCAGCCATCCCATCTGGGCCAGTGTGGCGTCTGTGCTCTCTGTTCTCTACTCATACACACAGAGAGAGCGATAGAGGGGAAAGGAGGGCTGGAGGGGGGCAGTGTGGCAAGGAACGGTAGCCAATGACATTGCCAAAAAGGTTTAGGAACAAAAGTCACAATGTTATTGTAAATAGGACTCCTCCTCATCCAGGCTTTTAACTCCTCTGTAGACGTCAAAGTGTGATGGGGGAAGGGACATCTTCAGTGTTGTAATGTAATAATAACCAATGTTGCTTTTTCAAAGGCCATTTTTGATCTCCCAAAAAAAGCCTGGTCTGTGGCTAATGGCCTATTCTTGCTGTGTGTCTGCCTCTATCCTGTAATGTGGCCAGGCCACATGAGGCCCAGAGTGAGTGTGGAAGCAACCCGCTGCTTCTCTCAAATTGGGTAATTTTCCTCCACAGCCACTGACATAACACCCACTTCCAGCCTAAGCACAGAGTTTTAAAATATCAATGTCTTCCTTTCTACTTTAACTCCTTTCAGACCACTAAAATAGACACAGGGGCCCCCAGGTTGAAACTTGCTTACCCTAGTCGTCAGATTGTCAGCCACTGTTTTCCTGTGACAGGAGGAATGATTGATTAGCTGAAGACGCAGCAGGAGGAGGCTGTTCATGAGGCACTGACTACAGACTAGATATATTTGTGTTGTCAGAGGGGGGCCATTTAGATGGATCTCATGCTCTCTCTCTCTCCCTCCCCCACTCTCCCCTCACACTAACCTGTTTCTCTTCCACAGGGAGGCCACAGTTGCTGCTGTACTCAGAGACAGTCTCTCTATCAAAATCTTCTCCTGACCGTGGTTCTACCAGAGACAGAAGCAGAGAGGCTGTGTGTGTCCAGAGCTCTCCAGTCCAGTCTCTAGAGGTCTATCCTGCTGCCATGGCCCTTGAGTGCACTGCGTCCCACTGGTGAGCGAGGGGCATCAGAGGGCAGAAGACATGTTGGGACAGAGGCCTGGGGACCGCACTGAAGCTTGCTGTAGTAACCATGGAAATGCTATGGAGGACCTTGGCCTGCATTGTTGTCATCATCGTCATGGTTGCCACCAATGTTGCAGAAAGTCAGACTGCTGAAAAGTTCACCCAGTCACAAGGTGAGCAGAGATCGGGCCGACTACTTTCTTCTCTTCTGTTTGACATAAATGGAAATGTTTAAATGTGTCAATGTTTATCCTGAATATACAGTATGATTATAGTATGTTATTATTACTATCATATTCATTGGGGAATTTATATTATTCCCTCTCTTGAACTGTGAAAGTGCTTCAACATTTCCAGTCCTGGTGTCTCACTCGAAAAGGTAAAGGACCAGTTCCATACAGTGGGGAGGGCCTCCTCTGACCTCAGCCACACACCAGGGCAGTGGCCCTGCTGAACTTGAACCCTGCTCTCACAAATCAACTCCAGAGACAGAAAGCCATGCCCCCCCCCCCCCAACCCTAACCCTAACTCCAACCCCAACCCCAACCCCACCACTCCTCAGCCAGACCAATCCCATTTAGGCTCAAACGTAAATACCCAGAGTGTCCATGGCTTGTCATGCAGAACAAGGCACTGATTGTGTATTTCCTATGCTTAACCTCTGCACCCTGTAAGTCATCTGTTTCAAATAGTCTGCCACACAACTTCCTTAAAAACCACCACAGGCTCATTCATTTATCTTCTCTGTTTAAACTAAGCTCTAGAAGTACATTATTATTATTATTAAAAAATATATATTTTACCCCCTTTTTCTCCCCAATTGTGATCTTGTCTCATCACTGCAATTTCGCTCGGGAGAGGCGAAGGTCGAGTCATGCGTCCTCCAAAACATGACCTTCCAAACCGCGCTTCTTAACACCCACCCGCTTTTAACCCTGAAGCCAGCTGCACCAATTTGTCGGAGGAAACACCGTTCAACTGACGACCGTGGTCAGCCTGCAGGTGCCCGACCCGCCACAAGGAGTCGCTAGAGCGCAATGAGCCAAGTAAAGCCCCCCCGGCCAAACCCTCCCCTAACCCGGACGACACTGGGCCAATTGTGCGCCACCCTATGGGACTCCCGGTCACGACCAGTTGTGACACAGCCTGGGATCGAACCTCAGGCTGTAGTGACTCTAAGGCACTGCGATGCAGTGCCTTAGACTGCTGCGCCACTCAGGAGGCCAGAAGGGCACTTTTCTAACCCAAAAATGAAACCAGCTCCATTGATAATGGACGGTAATACTTTTTTATTAGTTAGCATTTATCACAAGTATTCACTGGAAAATGCAACAAGTAGTACGTCTGGTGTTATACATTACAGCGCCACTTTTTAGATTCCTCCACGCTAGTCATGTCTCCCACAATGGATATTGACTTCTGGCCAAGTGTAAGTTATTATCTCACAGAATGGTAACTCCTTGTCACGATCGTCTAAGGAGGAGGACCAATGCACAGCGTTGAAGGTGAACATATTTATTTAGAGAATGATCACACGATCAAAACAACAGACGATAACGTGATGTCTACGGTTGAACACAAACCAAATAAGAACAAGAAACCACAAACAATGAATGCCTAACGGCTACCTAAGTATGACTCCCAATCAGAGACAACGAGCTACAGCCGTCTCTGATTGGGAGCCACCCTGGCCAACATAGATATACAACAACTAGAACATAAACAAATGAACACCCTGGCTCAACATACGAGAGTCCCCAGAGCCAGGGCGTGACACTCCTTTAAGTAATTCTAGATTAAAACCTTCAACAAAAACAGAATTAGAAAATGGGACATTTGCTGAGGGCATGAAACCTGCCTATATTTGCTGTCGCACTTCATGACAAGCTGCAGAATATTTTTGGCTAGTGTCTTTGTGTTTATTTAAAAGAAAGAGGACAAATATGCAGACATGGCGTAGTTGAAGAGTTGGGCTTTTTCTGAAAACATATACTCTCCCTATTTCCTTGAAATAAGTGAATAATGAGGTATCGTGGTAGTGGCATTAAGTCATTTAGTTCAGTGTATATGTACAGTGCATTCGAAAAGTATTATGACCCCTTGTTACGTTACAGCCTTATTCTAAAATTGATTAAATTGTTTTCCCCCCTCATCAATCTACACACAATACACCATAATGACAAAGCAAAAACTGTTTTTTAGACATTTATGCACATAAAAATAAAATAAAAAATGAAATATCACATTTATTCAGACCCTTAACTCAGTACTTTGTTGAAGCACCTTTGGCAGCGATTATAGCCTTGAGTCTTCTTGCGTATGACGCTACAAGCTTGGCACACCTGTATTTGGGGAGTTTCTCCCATTCTTCTCTGCAGATCCTCTCAAGCTCTGTCAGGTTGAATGAGGAGCGTCGCTGCACAACATCTCCAGAGATGTTCGATCGGGTTCAAGTTCGGGCTCAAGGACATTCAAAGACTTGTCCCGAAGCCACTTCTGCATTGTCTTGGCTGTGTGCTTAGGGTCGTTGTCCTGTTGGAAGGTGAACCTTCGCCCCAGTCTGAGGTCCTGAGCGCTCTGGAGCAGGTTTTCATCAAGGATCTCTCTGTACTTTGCTCCATTAATCTTTCCCTCGATCCTGGCTAGTCTCCCAGTCCCTGCTGCTGAAAAACATCCCCACAGCATGATGCTGCCACCAACATGCTTCACCGTAAGGATGGTGCCAGGTTTCCTCCAGACGTGATGCTTGGCATTCAGGCCAAAGAGTTCAGTCTTGGTGTCATCAGACCAGAGAATCTTGTTTCTCATGGTCTGAGAGTCCTTTAGGTGCCTTTTGGCAAACTCCAAGCGGGCTGTCATGTGCCTTTTACTGAGGAGTGGCTTCCGTCTGGCCACTCTACCATAATGGCCTGATTGGTGGAGTGCTGCAGAAATAGTTGTCCTTCTGGAAGGTTCTCCCATCTCCACAGAGGAACTCTGGAGCTCTGTCAGAGTGACCATCGGGTTCTTGGTCACCTCCCTGACCAAGGCCCTTCTCACCCGATTGCTCAGTTTGGCCAGGCTAGGAAGAGTCTTGGTGGTTCCAAACTTCTTCCATTTAAGAATGATGGAGGCCACTGTGTTCTTGGGGACCTTCAATGCTGCAGACATTTTTTGGTACCCTTCCCCAGATCTGTGGCTCGACACAATCCTGTCTCGGAGCTCTACGGACAAAACCTTGTATAGAGAGGTATGTGCCTTTCCAAATCATGTCTAATCAATTGAATTTACCACAGCTGGACTCCAATCAAATTGTAGAAACATCTCAAGGATGATCAATGGAAACAGGATGCACCTGAGCTCAATTTCGAGTCTCATAGCAAAGGGTCTGAATACTTATGTAAATAAGGTATTTCTGTTTCTTAGTTTTAATAAATTTGCTAAAATGTCTAAAAACCTGTTTTCACTTGTAACAAAATTCCACAAAATTTGGAAAAAGTCAAGGGGTCTGAATACTTTCCTAATGCACTGTATATATAACTTTTCCCTCAGAATGAGGATCCGCAACACAGTCTCATAACTCAGACAGTCAACTGTCCCAGGCTGAGACGTGACAGACAGACAGGCCAAGAGACAGACATACATACAGGCCTGACAGACCAACAGACAGACATACAGGCCGACAGACATACAGGCCGACAGACAGACAGACAGGCTCACAGACACAGACACACAGAGAGAGAGAGAGAGAGAGAGAGAGAGAGAGAGAGAGAGAGAGAGAGAGAGAGAGAGAGAGAGAGAACACTACAGTAAAAAGGGCCACTGTTCTCGTTTCCTTCTCTTTTTTTAAAGAGGCTAATTAAAGGTTCCTTTCTTCTAAAAGCTCAAATAAACCAAACTCTGGGTAGCGCTTATGGCAGTTTATTTTATAAAAGGTGAGCACTCTTCTTTTATGGGCCTCTCTGTTTTACCGGTTGTGTTTATTGGTGAGTAATGATAGTTTCCGCCTCCTGGTGATTAGATAATAGAGCAAAAGAATCTGAGGAATGGTTCGCCCTGTGGTGCCATAGAGCTGGGAGCAGCTTTCCATCAATTTTATGCCCAATGTTGTCTTGTGATAACATGAGCACTGTGTGATGACCTATAGATAGCTGGGTCTCTGAACCAGTAGGGGACCTAGGAGAGGATCAGACGCCACGCGACCCTTCAGACCAGACTAAGACCTACTGTACTCTTATACCGTATAGACAACTTTGCTCCCCTCATTTCCATTGTACCAGCCATATTTCCCTTTTGAAGTACCCTGCACATGTGGGCACAGTGCATTGGGAGGGGACTGACAGCAGTATGGCAGCCTTATGAAAACAGTGGTGGAGCCAAGTCAGCCCACTAGCTGCCACACACTCATTAATTAGACAGGCTTATCAGGTGGCTGTGTCTGGACAGATTACTGCTGCGCTGCAGAGAGAGAGCCACAGAACAAAGCAGGCAGGCAGGGCACGAGGAGCAGCTGTACAGCTGTGGAACCACGGAGGTATGGAGGGGGGGATGGAGGCGGGGAGAGTGGGGGTACAGTACACTTTTGAAACAATCTACTTTATCTGAATGCTGCCCTCTGAGTTCACTCCAGCCCTCCATGAGGCTTTCCTGTGTAAATAACATGAAAATACCACTTTTTATGTGGGGCAATTTGTGTATGTTGTCTGAAATGTTGTAGGGGAGTTATTCACAGCTCCTATAACTGGCTGTTGCAGAATGTGCTGAAGGATGTGAAATGGGTCTAGGGTTTGGAGGGGTCTGGGAAGCTGTAATGGTGCTTGCTGTTTATTTATGCTGGCCTGGCCACGTATACAGAGAGGCTGGGCATAGACGCAAGGTACAGACACTAATCCCTGCCTGTTTACTCTCAGTGGGGAGGGCTGTTTCTCAACAAAACAAGGCAAAAGGCCTTGATGAAAACTGGGCTCATTTCTGTTTAACTTTCCCTTGTTAGTGCAGTGTTTGGAGTGCCATGTTTGGACAATAAATCTCCGGGCGCGCAGCCGGAGACAGGAAGTATACCATTTCAGGGTTGCCATGGAGACATCCTTTGACCTTGGGAGGGATAGCGTAGACTGAGAAGTCCTCAAGAATCCCGCTAGTCACTACTGACTATGGCCTGTCCTCATGAGCGTTTAAGCCATGATGATAATGCACATACTGTAAATTCAACCAAAGTTTCATTGAAATGTCAAATTTGACCTTGAGTGTTTGTGCTGTCTCTCTCTCTCCTCTATCTGTTTCTGTCCAGCTGCGTTCCTGTCCAGCCTGGGCCAGTATGAAATTGCCATCCCGGTTCGCGTGGGGCCGCAGGGCGAGACCCTGGACACAGAGGATTGGGGTGCAGACAGCCCCAACCACCACCGGCGGAACCGCCGCAGTGCTGAGGACCAGCAACAGGACCCGTCCCAGATGTACTACCAACTCTCCACCCCCAAAACCAACTTCCTCCTCAACCTGACCCTGCAGGGGGGCCTGCTGTCCCGCCAGTTCCGTGTGGAGTACTGGAGGAGGGGCCGTCTGGCCTGGAGCCACCCTTACGCCCCCCAGTGTCTCTATGTAGGCCACCTGCAGGATCAGCCCCACTCCAGCAAGGTGGCTCTCAGCAACTGTAACGGCCTGGTAAGTACCTGACCCATCTAGTACTGCTAGCGCCACTGGTCTGTTGTCCTATGGTCTCTTGTCTTGTTGTCCGGTTGTCCTGATTTCCTGCTGTCTTGTTGCCCTGTTGTCTTGTTGTGCTGTTGTGCTGTTGTCTTGTTGTGCTGTTGTCTTGTTGTGCTGTTGTCTTGTTGTGCTGTTGTCTTGTTGTCTTATTGTGCTGTTGTCTTGTTGTGCTGTTGTCTTGTTGTGCTGTTGTGCTGTTGTCTTGTTGTCTTGTTGTGCTGTTGTCTTGTTGTCTTGTTGTGCTGTTGTCTTGTTGTCTTGTTGTGCTGTTGTCTTGTTGTCTTGTTGTGCTGTTGTCCTTGGCCTCAGGGGACCCAGGGCTAATGGATCTCCAGAGGTTTCCTCTCCCTCTGAGTGTAACATTATGATTCAGTGTACAAGGATAGCTCTGACCCTGGACTAGACCAGGGCATCTGCCTGGCCACATAGTATTCTAGGCCTGGAACAGGAATGCACCTGCGTATACAAGGGATTACCAAAGCCCATTCTTATCACCAGACTTCCCCTGCTGGTCACAACTAATAACGTCACTAAGGCATGTTCACAGCTGTACGTCTCGACCATTCAGTAGCCAGCTAGCACCGCCGCCCACGGCAGACCCTTTTGAAATAATGAAATCAGTCAAATAACACAATTCCAATATGCCTTTTGACAGATAAAAGCATTCTCCTTGTCCATTGATTATTGTGATGTCCTTACAGCTAATAACTAATTGGGTCCATAATAACAGAGGTAAATACAACCAAGGATTTAATCTGCTCACAAAGTGTTAATAAACCCCACACATAATTACTTGTGGTCAGACTAGCATAACTTAATTCAGCAGGGAATCCGCTGTGTGTCCACGAGAGCATCACTAAACATATTACAGGATTAGGTGCACTCTGAAAGTGTGCCGCTATTGTAGAGACTAGAGAGGGCCGGGGGGAAACACTCACTGTGACCCTCGGAGGCTGCAGCCAAGAGATCTAATCAGGGGAAGTGTTACAGTGTCTCCCCGTCTCCTCTCTGTGGAAAGACTCATGAATCCCCACTGAGATAGGATCACTCTCCCTATGTATCTGACCTACAGAACAGTTTAGGAGAGAGGTGAGGGCCTGTGTTTGTTTAGGCCCAGGCTTGTGAGAGACTGATATGATTATAATCCCAGGCCAGGGATAGTTACAATATGTACTGTATCAACAACAACAAAAATCTAATTTTATTTGTCACATGCGCCGAATACAACGGGTGTAGACCTAACCGTGAAATGCTTGCTTGCGAGTCCTTCTCAACAACGCAGAGTTACAAATTATAATAAAATAAAAATAGTAACACAAGAGGAATAAAATACATAAGAATGGCGCTATATACAGGGAGTACCAGTACCAGATCAATGTGCAGAGGTACGAGGTATTTGAGGTAGATAGTGTAAAGTGACTAGGCATCAAGATAGATAATAATAAGAGTAAAATAAAGAATGGAGTAGCAGCAGCAAATGATGAGTGTTAAAGTGTTTTATGTGTGTGTGTGTGTGTGTGTGTGTGTGTGTGTGTGTGTGTGTGTGTGTGTGTGTGTGTGCAAGGGTGTGTGTGTATGTGTTGTGTCGGTATGCGTGTGTGTTATGTGTGTGTGTGTATGTGCTGTATGTGAATGAGTGTGGGTTTTGTGTGAGAGTGTCAGTGTAGTGTATCCACTGAGGGGAGATGAGGTGTCACAGGGCTGGCTGTAGACAGTACTACTGTAAATGGCCTGACAGGCAGCAGAGATAGGGACTTCTGTGCGTGTCAGTTCTTGTCCTGTCACCACCAACCTTCAGAGGGCCCCTGGCTCCCCTTTGCTTTCCTGGCTTTTCCAGCAGGGGGTGATCGTGGCGGGCGGTGAAGAGTACCTCGTCGAGCCTCTGACCCCGGCCGAAAACCTCACGAGAGCGGAGAGGGGGGAGGGCCGCCCACATGTGGTTTACAAGAGGTCATCTCTCCGCCACCAGTACATGGACCAGTCTTGTGGGGTCATCGGTAGGTAGAGCTGTCTGGGTACTGGGCACAACATGCCCCTTTAAACTCTCATGTTTCACAGGTTACAATTGGATCAGCATAGTTTATGATATACTCTGTACAGCAGTCTCAGTTTACAGGGCATAATAACCTTGTTTTAATACATTCAAATTAATGTCACTCTTATCATCAGTCAAAATGTTGTGGAGTGGCTCTTATCAGGTAGTGTACCCTCTCCTCTCTTAACCCCTATCTCTGTCTGTGTAACTGTGTCTCAGATGAGAAGCCAGGTAAAGGCATGTCCTGGTGGCAGAGGACTCTGAAGACCCCTCCCAACCCCATCGGCCGAGGCCAGCTGCCCCTGAAGAGGTCTGTGAGCAGAGAGCGCTACGTAGAAACACTGGTGGTGGCCGACAAGATGATGGTGGGGTACCACGGCCGCCGGGACATCGAACAGTACATCCTGGCTGTCATGAATATTGTAAGTTTCACATCGAGTCAGATCACTACAACTGGCAGGGTGGAAAAGTAGGAAAATATTTGAAAAAGCCCCACAATCTCCTATTGTCCCATCCACTTTATTGTGTCTGTGTTTAGGATTGCGTCTAGGATTGTTGTTACTGTGTTGAATGGTTATTCTGTCTTCACCTGCAGATAGTGTAGCTGAGGTCATAACATCTGTAGTAGTATTTATTTCACAGGATATCACTTCACACCCTGTCGATCAGATGGCTACACACACACACTCATGTCTGGAATGCCTTTAATGAATGGTTGGCCTTATTTTACTGTTCTGCATCCATCCTGTCACAAAATCCCATACAGAGGAAACTACAGAAGCACACTGTAAAGTAACCCAAATTACACGAGTTGTGTCAATTATGACAAGTGTCTTTCCCTTGGGTTGTAAGTGTTAGTGATGAATGATGTGTCAGCTCTTTTTAAGACTGGTCTTTTCTTGTTTCCCTGGAGGTCAGGTTGCCAAACTGTTCCAGGATTCTAGCCTGGGGAACGCAGTGAACATCGTGGTGACCCGCCTCATCCTGCTCATGGAGGACCAGGTATTCTATTCTAGACCCATTCCGGAAAAATCTCTGCCTTTCAATGGACTTAGTGGAGTCTGCATCCATCCACCCTGCCTCTGCTCTGCTCCGCATCCAACTCCCAGTCCAGTCCAGTTTGGTTTCCCGGGCCAGCATCTATGAGCTCCTTGTTTGTGTCAAATTTTTGGCTTAAGTGTCCTTCCTCCCCTGCTCCCGGTGGAGACTGTCTTGTAAGCAGAGCCGTTTGTGGCAGTGGAGGGAGAGCGGCCTGCCAAGCAGCCCAGCCATGACTGCATTTGTTGTTGCTGGTGACCTCTCGGGCCGTTGATATGACGCACATTAGTGCCCTAGAAAAGTGCATATAAAAATATAAAGCTAAATATGAAGCTGGGGCAGGCAGGCGGGCAGCAGGCAGGCAGGCGTGCCTCACTGTGGCCCAGTGTTCTATCCACCTGCTGCCTGGGGATTGACATGAATGTCATGTCACGTGCTTGGTCCCGGTCCAGTCCACCAGGCCAGTCAGCCAGGCCCCGTGCTGCTAACGGCATGCGGTCAAACTGAGTGCCAGGACAGGGTTACACTCTCTGGCGTAATGTGGACCTAATAAGCCTTCATACAGATGATTCAAAGGGTATTAGATGGGGACTAGTGGTTTTGCGGTGAAGGTACTGTGGCAGTCTAATAACAACCTGTATGATTCATACTAGACAGCTGAAAATAATCCCCTGTAATTTGCCCCGGGCATATGTCATCTGACAAAGAAAGAAATGAATAAATAAATGTTATGATCATTAGCAGAAGTATTAGTATTATTTTTGCTGTTCGGTCTGTTGAGGTTGGGGTAAGACCAAAAGTCGTCTCGCTGAGAGGAGCAGAGCGGGTCTGTCGTTTCCAGCTGAAAACTGACCCTGGAAAACAAAACAGACTAGCCAGCCCACTGAGCCCAGAGATGAAGGATTGTGGGATGAGACAATTACTAGTTATGTCACCACCATGGACATTCCTGTGTTACGAGCCTTACCCAGCTGTGACCAGGAGAGCATTCCCTTTCCTCTGTCAAGGTGGCTAATGGCAGCGAGAGAGCAAAGCAGAGGGAGCTCCTGTCCTCATCAGTCCAGTCCAATAGCCCCATGGCAGAGGGCTAGGCTGCTTAATACTAGGCTCATTGCACAGCTATGGTTGAACTGGTCAATTCTGTTTATGTAGTAAAAATTAATTATTGGTCCACATGGGGAATGTCTTTCTCATTACTCCTTCTGGCTTATAAATTATTGTCAGGTCATTGCAGATAGTAAAAGTGGCATATCTAGGAAAACCTAAAGATGATTATACAGTCATTTGATTATTTCACTGTACACTTCCAGATTATGTTGATTTCAGTTTGTATTCCCTCTCTGTCTCTGTCAGCCGACTCTAGAGATCAACCACCATGCAGGGAAGTCCCTGGACAGCTTCTGTAAGTGGCAGAAATCCATCCAGAACCGGAATGGCAACGGGAATGCCATCCCAGACAACGGCATCGCTCACCACGACACTGCCGTGCTCATCACCAGGTCAGCACTCACAGCACCGGAACATTCTTAGTGATTCAGTGTTGAGATAAGCATGCACAACTCAGACTTTCACATAAGTCATTAATTGACTTCAATGGGAGACTTGCGCAGAATTCGAGATAAGTGCACAGATCTCAAGACAGAATACTGCTCTTAGTACCAAAATGCACATGCTAGCATTGTCAATGCACATAATAAACCCTCTCTAGCCTAATTCCTTAATGATCCACTACTGAGTCTATTGGACAAAGATACTATATTGTGCTCAATTTATTCTTCTTTGGATTACGGTTTTAGTAAGAACTGACTCCATATTCTGCCCTCTGAGTTCACTGGCTCCTTCTCTTACCTCATGACCTCTCATTTTCGCCAAGTGTGCATTTGTGTCTGGTCCTGTCTGGAGTGACGGAACGTAGGCTGTTCTGCTCAACTGAGCATCTGGAGAGAGAGCGCTGTGGAGAGGGAGGGAGAAAAAAACGAGAGAAAGAGAGAGAGAGAGAGAGAGAGAGAGAGAGAGAGAGAGAGAGAGAGAGAGAGAGAGAGAGAGAGAGAGAGAGAGGGAGAGGGAATCAGAGTACAGCTGCCTTGAATCTGACAGCCCTGAGCCGGGCCAAGGAAGCAAAGTACAGTTTCAGAAATAGTGAGGCACTCTATTTAGGGGGAAAACAGCAACAGCAGCAACAGCAGAAACACAATACTGTAGAGAGATACAACAGAGCACCATTCACTGAAAAGCTCTGCCCATGCATGGGCCCCTGTTCCGACTCGCTTGTATTCTCTTTTCTTGGAGTGTCTTTGGATGTTTGATCTGTGAGAATAGGTTCTTTATATGAAGACTTTTATCGAAGAGGGATTGAAAATGTCCAGAGGACACTGCAGTAACCATCCTTTTATTTCCTGCCATTGTTCAGACCTTATCAGTCGCTTATCAAGTCTGTTGTGTGTCCATATAGGGCTTAGTGCCTCTGATAGAGAGAGAAGGAGAGGGGAGAGAGAGAGAGGGAGAGAGAGAGAGGAGAGAGAGAGGGAGGGAGAGAGAGGGAGAGAGAGAGGAGAGAGGGGGAGGGAGAGAGAGAGTACAGAGAGAGGAGAGAGAGTGTGTGTGTGTGTGTGTGTGTGAGAAAGAGTCTGTGTGTGATTACGTGTGTGAGTGGTTTTTGCTGAATGTACTTTATGTTTTAGTGAGTGCCTGTCAGGGTGTGGAAGCACCGACTGCCAGAGTATTCGTTTGAGTAAATGGCCTGGTTTATTTTCCTTGCTGTTCCCAGGTACGACATCTGCATCTACAAGAACAAGCCATGTGGAACCCTAGGTAGGACATCTGGTCAAACCTGCCTGCCCCCGCCCGGCCCAGGAGAGGGCTAACCCTGGGCACACACACTGCACACAGGCCGCTTGTTGGGAAGCACTGAGCTTCAGTGTCAGACTATATATAATCTAGAGCAGCCAGGGGAGGGGATGTGACTCAGGAAACTGCCTTCATTTTCACTTTGCTCTCCCTCACTATTAAGTACCTACCTACTGTATCTCTGCTGCAGCTGACTTACCAGCATGACTGACTAGTACTGTCTTAAGGCGTCCTCATGCTTCCCAGACAAAACAGTTCAGTAGAGTTCGTGCATATATTATGACGACTTTTAGTGACGTTTCTGTTCGTTTTGGACTTCGGTTATTTTTTTTTGGGTTGTTCAGGCACACACTTTTTTTTCTGGAAGCAAGCCGAACTTTGCAGCCTAAGTCTACGCCCCTTCGTCGGTGATTGGTCAATAAAGTATTTGTTGTCACGCAACGAGAGACGACTCGTTTTCATGCAAATGTTTTCATTGAAAAATACTGCACTAAATTAGTTAGATGTAAAAAGCCAAACTGAAGCATGCTGACGCCTTTAGAGTGACACGTAGATGCAGAATCTAGGTTTTTAGATTTTGGTTAAGTTTATATGGATATATAAAGGTAACTGCCAAAATAAAGGAAACACTTGAGTAAATGAGGGATACAAAGTATATTAAAAGCAGGTGCTCCAACCCAAGTGTGGTTAATGTTAATTAAGCTATTAGCATCACATCATGCTTAGGGTAATGTATAAAAATGCCCAGTTGCCCAATATTTTCACTACCATGGCTAGAAGAAGAGATCTCAGTGACTTTGAAAGAGGGTTCTCAAAGGGGGTTTAAAGTGTGTGTGTGTGTGTGTGTGTGTGTGTTTGTTGAACACTTATGGGAGATTCTGGAGCGGCGCCTGAGACAGCGTTTTCCACCACCATCAACAAAACACCAAATGATGGAATTTCTCATGGAAGAATGGTGTCGCATCCCTCCAATAGAGTTCCAGACACTTGTAGAATGCCAAGGTTCATTGAAGTTGTTCTGGCGGCTCGTGGTGGCACAACGCCCTATTACACTACATGACCAAAGGTATGTGGACACCTGTTCTTCGAACATCTCATTCCAAAATCATGGCCATTAATATGGAGTTGGTCCCCCCTTTGCTGCTATAACAGCCTCCACTCTTCTGGGAAGGCTTTCCACTAGATGTTGGAACATTGCTGCGGGGACTTGCTTCCATTCAGCCACAAGAGCATTAGTGAGGACGGGCACTGATGTTGGCGATTAGGCCTGGCTCGCAATTGGCATTCCAATTCATCCCAAAGGTGTTCGATGGAGTTGAGATCAGGGCTCTGTGCAGGGCAGTCAAGTTCTTCCACACCGATCTCGAAAAACCATGTCTGTATGGAACTCGCTTTGTGCACAGGGGCATTGTCATGCTGAAACAGGAAAGGGCCTTCCCCCAAACTGTTGCCACAAAGTTGGAAGCACAGAATCGTCTAGAATGTCATTGTATGCTGTAGCGTGAAGATTTCCCTTCACTGGAACTAAGGGGCCTAGACCGAACCATGAAAAACAGCCCCAGACCATTATTCCTCCTCCACCAAACTTTACAGTTGGCACTATGCATTGGGGCAGGTAGTGTTCTCCTGGCATCCACCAAACCCAGATTCGTCCGTCGGACTGCCAGATGGTGAAGCGTGATTCATCACTCCAGACAACGCGTTTCCACTGCTCCAGAGTCCAATGGCGGCGAGCTTTACACCACTCCAGCCGACGCTTGGCATTACGCATGGTGATCTTAGGCTTGTGTGCGGCTGCTCGGCCATGAAAACCCATTTCATGAAGCGCCCGATGAACAGTTCTTGTGCTGACATTGCTTCCAGAGGCAGTTTGGAACATGGTAGTGAGTGTTGCAACCGAGTACAAACTATTTTTACACGCTACTCACTTCAGCACTTGGGCGGTCCCGTTCTGTGAGCTTGTGTGGGCTACCACTTCGCGGCTGAGCCGTTGTTGCTCCTAGATGTTTCCACTTCCCAATAACAGCTCTTACAGTTGACCGGGGAAGCTCTAGCGGGGCAGAAATTTGACGAACTGACTTGTTAGAAAGGTGGCATCCTATGAGGGTGCCACGTTGAAAGTCACTGAGCTCTTCAGTAAGGCCATTCTACTGCCAATGTTTGTCTATGGAGATTGCATGGCTGTGTGCTCGATTTTATACACCTGTCAGCAACGGGTGTGGCTTAAATAGCCGAATCCACTAATTTGAAGGGTTGTCCACATACTTTTGTATATATAGTGTAAGACACTTTATGTTGGTATTTCCTTTATTTTGGCAGTTATCTGTATATGTTAGCATGTAACTGTATGTATTTGACATTTGCATAATCTCTGTATGTGCTTCAGCATGCATGAATGTGAATGGACATGTATGGCTATGTTAGTGAAAGTATTGTGTGTCTCTCTGTCCCAGGTCTAGCTCCAGTGGGAGGGATGTGTGAGCCAGAGAGGAGCTGCAGCATCAACGAGGACATCGGCCTGGCCACAGCCTTCACCATCGCCCACGAGATAGGACACACGTAAGGAGCTCACCCACATCACCTATATCACCCTCATCACCCACATCACCTATATCACCCTCATATCCCTCGTCACTGGGGCCCTGAGTCTTTACTGACCACGGGACCTGACCAGGAAAATGATCAGAGCCCCAGTTATAGCCTTCGTCACAGTGGTCATAAACACACCTTTGACACACACACCCTTTGGGCTTTAGGCTCTGTTTCTGCTTTATGGCCCTACGCTGTTTCAACAAACCACTCTTTCACTGATGTTACCTATTACCCCACACAGGAAACCCTGCCCCTGTCCCTGGCTTCTGTCCCTGCCCTTCTTCCCTTACACCCCCTGCCCCCTGCCATTACCCAAGCACCCCTGGTCTGGGCTGACTTGAGCTAAATTTATCCAAAGCCCAAGCTCAGAGTGAGATTGCTGTTAGATTAGAGCCGTACCAGAGGAAGAACTTACGTAACTACCTCCATGAGTAATTTCCATCAATTGAGAACATGTTAATATCTTTATATTTGCTTTCAGTCATGTGCTATTTATACGCTAGTGGAACAATGTATGAGTGTGGCTGGTACAGTATGAAAACGGATGCACTCACTAACTGTAAGTCGCTCTGGATAAGAGCGTCTGCTAAATGACTAAAATGTAAAAAATGTCAAATGTACAGTATATCATTCTGAGCCTACCACAGTGCCTGGCAATAGGCATGTCTTTTGTACCTTCCCTCCAAGACACTTTGTTTTACTTGCTGGCCTGGCATATCAGCCGATCTGCCTCTCTGCCTCACTTACTCATGCATACATATTTATCTAGGTGCATGCCTGAGTAATATAAGACATGCTCCACTGGACATGCATGTCATTTCCAAGCCTCTTCATTCCCTGCCATGAAAGAGGATTCTGTTAAATTTGCTCTGATATTTTCCTTCAAAAGCCATTACTTGGTATCATTTTTGAAAATCCACTATATTTGCAAAGTAATTGAGTGTGCCATTTACCTACGTGTGCACACAGGCCTCTGAGGTATTTTCACAGGTGGCAAACCTATTGGTGTTCCCCCCTAATGGCTAGTCCAGGTACCTTTGAACTGGATGGGGTGCTTATACCCTGGGGCTGTCTAGACGGCGGGCCTTGTCTTTTACAGTTCATATGGAAGTGTGTGTGTGTGCATGTGTGTGTGTGTGTGAGAGAGAAAGCAGAGCACAGAGATACTTTGCTGTCTGTTAAATATGCACTGACCTCAGAGACAGAGCTCATGGTGTTAATAAGAGTTTAACGGAGAGGATATTTGAGTAAAAAATTGCCTTTTGCCCGATACCATCACCAATACCCCAATATTTCACACATACTTAGTCACCCAGGTGATATATCAACACAGTACCATCTCTCTCTCTCCCTGCAGGTTTGGGATGAACCATGATGGAGTGGGCAACGCCTGTGGCTCCCGCAGTCAGGAGACAGCCAAGCTGATGGCTGCACACATCACCATGAAGACCAACCCTTTCGTCTGGTCCGCCTGCAGCCGAGACTACATCACCAACTTCCTGGAGTGAGTCTGCAGCTGTCACTGTCAATACACAGGACATACAGTACAACAAAGTGGAAGCATAAGGTGTTATAAAGTTGATCATGAGTTTATTGTGGGGTAGATTAACTGGGTGCATTGCAAGTGAGGCGATGTCCATCTTTGTTGTGTTGTGAGCTCTTTTTCAGTGTCTTCTCCTGTTTGTGTCTCTGCAGCTCAGGCATGGGCTCCTGCCTCAACAACGTCCCCCCCAAGCAGGAGTTTGTGTACCCTACTACGGCCCCCGGCCAGGCCTACGATGCAGATGAGCAGTGCCGCTTCCAATACGGAGTGAAGTCTCGGCAGTGTAAATACGGGGTACCGAATCACCTTCCTCATCCTCCTCTTCCTCCTCCTCTAACTCGTTTGATAAGGCTGTATGGTCATTTTTATCAGGCAGATACATTCAGTACTCTATGTGTGGCCCGTGTAGGAATTAAACTCACAACTCTGGTGTTGCAAGCACCATGCTCCAATCAACTGTCTGATCCATTAGTACCACGTGCACCTTATGTCCTCTTCCTCCTTCCTCTTCTTCTCCAGAGCAGATGTGTGCTTCTCCTCTCCATCTGTAGGCCAGCTCTCCTCTCCATCTGTAGGCCAGCTCTCCTCTCCATCTGTAATCTCCCGAGTGGCGCAGTGGTCTAAGGCACTGCATCGCCACTAGATATCCTGGTTCGAATCCAGGCTCTGTCGTAGCCAGCCCGAGACTGGGAGACCCATTGGGCGGTGCACAATTGGTCCAGTAAGGGGAGGGAAAGGCCGGCAGGGATGTAGCTCAGTTGGTAGAGCATGGCGTTTGCAACACCAGGGTTGTGGGTTCGATTCCCACGGGGGTCCAGTATGAATAATAAAAATGTGCTACTAGAGATCCTGGTTCGAATCCTGGCTGTGACTGGGAGACCCATGGGGTGGCGCACAATTGGCCCAGGGTAGGGGAGGGAAAGGCCGGCAGGGATGTAGCTCAGTTGGTTGAGCATGGTGTTTGCAACGCCAGGGTTGTGGGTTCGATTCCCACGGGTCCAGTATGAATAATAAAAATACAAATAATAATGTACCACTAACTGTAAGTTGCTCTGGATAAGAGCATCTGCTAAATGACTAAAATGTAGGTGCGCTCTCTTTTCCATCTGTAGTCCAGCTCTCCTCTCTATCTGTAGGCGCGCTCTCCTCTCCATCTGCGGGCCAGCTCTCCTCTCCATCTGTAGTCCAGCTCTCCTCTCTATCTGTAGTCCAGCTCTCCTCTCTATCTGTAGGCGCACTCTCCTCTCCATCTGTAGGCCAGCTCTCCTCTCCATCTGTAGTCCAGCTCTCCTCTCTATCTGTAGGCGCACTCTCCTCTCTATCTGTAGGCGCACTCTCCTCTCCATCTGTAGTCCAGCTCTCCTCTCTATCTGTAGGCGCGCTCTCCTCTCCATCTGTAGGCCAGCTCTCCTCTCCATCTGTAGGCCAGCTCTCCTCTCCATCTGTAGGCCAGCTCTCCTCTCTATCTGTAGGCGCGCTCTCCTCTCCATCTGTAGGCCAGCTTTCCACTCCTCTCTGGCATATCTCTGGCTCTCTGCCCACTCTGATCAGGGCATCATGATGGCAGACAGAGTAGCGACTGGATTTTGACTGATATTTATTTGTGTCCCAGCTAGAGTTTTTTTTCCCTTTTTTTAACCAGTCCCAGGATTTTGGCCCCATGTGTGAAGAATTAATGAAGAAGTCTTGTGCTACCTTTATTTTATTAGACAGTCTATTTTATTGGCCCGACAGCTGAGTGAACGGACATCTGGAACAAAATAGCACGTTATAGTGTCATTATCATTGATACTATGTAGTCAGAGCATATGTATACAATAAAATACAACGGCATAAGTCTTAAATACATTAGCACCACAGAGACCAGTGGTAGTTGAACCAACCGCTGGTGCCGTCTGCACCGGGTCAGTGAGCCCTCTTGGTTGGGCTCATCAGTGCCTGTTGTCTCTAAATGGGCTGAAATGGACACACTCTGACAGCTCTCTCTGTGCCTGCAGGAAGTCTGCAGCGAGCTGTGGTGCATGAGCAAAAGCAACCGCTGCATCACCAGCAGCATACCCGCCGCCGAAGGAACCATCTGTCAAACCAATACCATAGAGAAAGGAGTAAGCACTGGGATGTTCCATTACCAGCAGAAATGGGGGTGTTTGGTGTGCAAATGACAAAAATCAGTAGTTCCAAAGCTTGTCCCTCCCCTGTGTGTGTGTTTCAGTGGTGCTATAAGAGGGTGTGTGTGGTCTACGGGACCCAGCCAGAGGGGGTGGACGGCGGCTGGGGTCTCTGGACCCCCTGGGAGGAGTGCAGCCGTACCTGTGGGGGAGGAGTGTCCTCCTCCATCCGCCACTGTGACAGCCCCAGGTGAGTGGTGCTGCAGATGGAGGGTGATGTGGATCTCAACTCTGTCTATAAGGATTTGCCATTGAATTCCCAGCCACTGTAGGACTGTAAAGTCATAGGATTGTATCTGGCTGGCTCTTCCTAACTTCCAAGCACAACTGTTTGTTGGGGATGAGAGACATCAGTCTACCACCAATCATTTTAACATCCCACTATAATCACCCACGTGCAACAACGACAGCCGTAATAAAGTTTTAACACAGACAGTGTTTCTACTGAGGAGTCTCATTGGCTTGGATAGCTGAGTAATAAAAAGACAGACTGTCAGAGATTGAAACAGGGTGGTAGAGCCCAGCCAGCCAGGCGGGAGGAGAATAGAACCCAGTGTCATTGGGGAGTTGTTGTTCAATTGTACTCAGATGTGTTTCGCCTCTGCTTTTCTGGTTCCAGGCCAACCATTGGTGGAAAGTATTGTCTGGGAGAGAGGAAGCGCTTCAGATCGTGCAATATTGACGTGAGTGGTGGAGCAGAGCGGAGCGGAGCGGAACGGAGCAGCAGCTCTCTCTGAAAGGCCTACAGTACCATCACATACTCATCCTGGCTATGCCCAGCTCTCAACTCAGATCTTCAGCTCTCAGACTGACCTAATTAACAGCAGCCTACCCAGTCCCAAACTAAAGCCCTCACTGTGTGTGTGTGTGTGTACATGGTGGAGTGTAGAGGCTACTGTGAGTTCAGTCTTACTGTAAATGACTGCTGGCAGCGAGAGAGACAAGGGAGGGGATATACTGGGTTTCTGATGTTGAGAGGCCTGGGATTTGACTGACATAGAGCTGTTCTGTGCCCCTCTGTGTGTGTCTGTTTTAGGAGTGCCCTGCAGGCTCTCAGGATTTTCGGGAGATTCAGTGCTCCGACTTCGACAACGTTCCTTTCCGGGGGAAATTCTACACCTGGAAACCCTACAGGGGAGGTGGGTACAGTAAGTGTGTGTACCCCCCCCCCTCCACAGTAGACTGAAAACGTCTGTAGACAGTCTGTAGATATGGAGAAAGCTGATATTAGAGCAGACACACCTGTGAGTTTACAGAGAGAGAATAGTGCAGCAGCAGATGGGGAGAGCTGAGCAGTAGAGTGCTGCCAGACCGTGGGCCCAGAAAGGGAAGAGGGGAGAGCAGAAAATAAGAGAGGAGAAGCGAGAGAGGAGGAGAGGAGAGGGGAAAGCTGCAGAAAGTTTACTGTCTGGCTCCCATATGCTTGCCCTGGAAAGTCTTCTCCCAGAATCCCCAGCTAGAATTCCTGTGCTTGATGAGCGCTGCACTGGACGCAAAAGATAAATACTTTTGACGACATAACTGCCTTTAATCTACCAGTCCAATAACATAATGGCTTACAGAGGGGCCCTCTCCAACTCCAGGCAACAAGTGCTCCTTTCATCAAGTCAGCTGATTTTACAATGGAAATCCCTTGCAGCTGTTAAAATAGGAGCTGTGCCATGGTCTGCCCTGCGTTAGGGCCAGATCACACATCCCAGTCCCCTTCTCTCCCCTCACTCACTCACTCCACTCTCCATTTCTCTTTCTTTCTCACTCTCCATTCCTCTTTCTTTCTCCCTCTCTTGCTAATTTCCTCTCTGGTCTCTGCTGTCTCCCTCCCTCTCCTTCTCTCTGTCCTGTACTCTGACACCTCTTGCAGGCTGTCGGGCTTGGCTCAGACAGCCAAGGACAGTTCATTTAAAAAAGCATGCAGCGTTTTAGCAGTCATATTTATTTTTTCAGAGGCATGCGCCATCCACATTGTTGCGCTCAGTCCAACAACCTTCGCAGGCAGCCTTCCTCCAGCAGGCCCCCCAAGTCAGTCAGCCCCCATCCATCCATCCACCCAGCCTCCAAACCCGTTTCGCTTCAGACTGGAAGCAGGCCTGCCAAAGCACAGCACCATGGGAGTTAGAGTTTTCCATCATCCCACCACTTTCTCGTCTGCTAGCCTCGCAGGCAGCACATACTGTACCTGTATCTGTGGTGCCAGCACAAACAGAGCCCAAAGTGAACTTTTCAAACAGTGGAACTAGCTGGAAATGGATATATTTGGCTAGTGCACAGCCGTGGCAGTATTAGATGACTTGATATGTTTGTACACGGCTGCTCACCCAGTCCGCAGGGGGGTTACAGTGCAGGGAGTTGGGGGGGCTGTGGTGGGCTATGACACCCTGGCTGAGAGAGAGAGGCTTCCTAGGAGAATTAGTGGAAAGTCTGCTTCCTGGTCCTGGTCCTGGCTGCCAGGGTATTAGGGCATGATTAGCACCTTATTCCTGCTCTCACATGACCAGAGCCTGGACAGGTTATAAAGCACGGAAACTGGGCTGACTAAAGGGTGGTGGTGGTGAGTAAAGTGAGACCATGGGTGTGGTTGTGTTGTGTTGTGTTGTGTTGTGTTGCGTTGCGTTGCGTTGCGTTATGTTGTGTATTGTGTTTATGTGTGTTGTGTGTGTATGTGTGAGCAGGTGTGGTGGTGTTTCCGTGCTGAGACATTGATTGGTGTCACGATCGTCTTCAAAAGGAGCAGACCAATACGCAGCGCGTTGAGCGAACATGACTTTATTAAATTAACGTACTCACTACAAAACCAACAAACAATGACGAAACGTGAAGTCCTCCGTTACAATGACTGACAAGGAACAAAAACCCACAACACTAAGGTGAACACTGACAGTTTAAATATGGCTCCCAATCAGAGATAACGAGCCGACAGCTGACACTCGTTACCACTGATTGGGAGTCACACGACCAAACAATGAAACACAACCAAATACAACACAACCAAATGAACACACCCTGGCTCAAAATACACAGTCCCGGAGCCAGAGCGTGACAGTACCCCCCCCTAAAGGCGCGGACTCCGACCGCGCCTACACCCCAAATAGGGAAGGGCTGGGTGGGTATTGCTCCTCGGAGGCGGCTCCGGCTCCGGCTCCGGGCTTGACCACCACCCTACTACAATCCCCCCGTAGTGCCCCCAGTCCGATCTGACCCAGTTAGCTGGATCAGGACTGCCGACGCGCACCCCTGGCTTGGCGCGTGAGGCAGGAATGGACCGGACCTGGCAGACGATACGCACCCTTTGCATGGTGCGTGGAGCCGGAACAGGCCTCACCAGGCTGAAGACTCGCATCCCTGGCTTGGTGCGAGTAGCAGGAATGGGCTGAATCCGGCTGACGACTCGCACCCTTGGCTTGGTGCGAGTAGCAGGAATGGGCTGAATCCGGCTGACGACTCGCACCCTTGGCTTGGTGCGAGTAGCAGGAATGGGCTGAATCCGGCTGACGACTCGCACCCTTGGCTTGGTGCGAGTAGCAGGAATGGGCTGAATCCGGCTGACGACTCGCACCCTTGGCTTGTTGCGAGTAGCAGGAATGGGCTGAATCCGGCTGACGACTCGCACCCTTGACTTGGTATGAGTGGCAGGAATGGGCCGGACTGGGCTGGCGACGTGCACCACAGACCTGGTGCGGAGAGCAGGAACGGGCAGAGCCGGGCTGACGAGACGCACCACAGGCTTGATGCGGAGAGCAGGCACGGGCCGTGCCGGACTGACGACGCACACCACTGGCTTGGTGCGGGAAGCTTGGATGGGCCGGACTGTACTGGGGACACACACCACTGGTCCTACACCGGGATCTGGAACGGGCCGGACCGGACTGGCAACACACGCCAGTACCTCTCGCCGTGCCTCTACTTCCTCCATCCCCTCTTCGACCAGTGGCCCCCGTAACCCGGCGGCCTTCTCCGGCAACCCACTGGGCCGCTCTATCGCGGCCTCCTGCTGGTCCGACGTCGTGAGCCCCCCCCTAAAAATGTTCGGGGCGTCTCTCCTACCCGTGGACCAGGTCTCCATGTCCCTCGCCAGCCTCTCGCCCTTCTGCCATAATGTCAAGCCCTTCTCTTCCTCACTCGGCTTGACCCAGTCCAGGAGGCGAAGGAGATCTGTGAGGGATCTCCCTGGCGATGGCTCCTGGACACGCTGCTTGGTCCCATCTTGGTGGGTTTTTCTGTCACGATCGTCTTCAAAAGGAGCAGACCAATACGCAGCGCGTTGAGCGAACATGACTTTATTAAATTAACGTACTCACTACAAAACCAACAAACAATGACGAAACGTGAAGTCCTCCGTTACAATGACTGACAAGGAACAAAAACCCACAACACTAAGGTGAACACTGACAGTTTAAATATGGCTCCCAATCAGAGATAACGAGCCGACAGCTGACACTCGTTACCACTGATTGGGAGTCACACGACCAAACAATGAAACACAACCAAATACAACACAACCAAATGAACACAGTCCCGGAGCCAGAGCGTGACAATTGGCCTTGTCAGCCAGCAAGAGAGCTCAGTGTGGTCGCTGGCATGCTCGGTAATATGGCATAAATGAGAGCACCTGTCAGTGCACAAATAACCCCTACCCCCTCTCTCCCTCTCTCTTTCCTCGCTCTCTGTCCGTTTTTGTGCTAGTCTGCAGGATAACCACATATCCACTTTCACAGGGAATCTGCTGAGAGATGCACTATTTCTGTTAGCTCCCTCTGTTTTTTTGTTGTGAGCTTTTGACACCTCAGAACCCACAGCTCTCATCAGTCCTAGGCCTTAAGTGGTGGAGGGGTGACCGACACAGAGGGGGCCGAGGGGACAAAGGGGTTTTGTGTGTGTGTGTGTGTGTGTGTGGTGGGGTGGGGGGGGGGGGGGGGGGGGGGGGACTTAATCACATTCAGCTGCTTGTTCTCTTGATGTTAACAATCCAAACTGTGCTCTCCCCCCTGTAGACCCCCTCTACCTCCCCCTCTCCTCTCTGTCTGCCTTTGGCGCCCGAGTCCTTACAGCCGTGGGAGAACAAACTAACTGCATCGAACATAAAACCCAAAAGCTCATTAAAATACCATGCGTGGCCATCAGACACATTAGAGCAGCCCGTGGTGTTTCTCAGTAATGAAGGTGAACAGCTGGATTCATGTATTGTGCTTCACCCAACAAGAGGCATCAGGCCTCACTGCTGGAAGTGCTAAAAAAACAATTTTATTTGTGTTGGTGTTAATGTTACGTAATGTTGTAAACACGACGCAGCAGCAGAGTAGCATACAAACACATTGCGTAAGTTTTTCAGCAATGAAATGATGTGAAAGCCAGTGTGTGTGTCATATAAAAGGCTGAGTCTGGTGTTGTTGTCTCTGCTGGCTGCTGCAGATGGGATCCTATAGAGGACCTCCACAGCTGCTTCTCTGGTCAACTCAATCTAGCTCTTAGTCAGGCTATGTGTTGTTTACCAAGAGTATTACACGACACCTAAAGAAACGTACAGCTCTTAATAACCTCTGACTTATTTCTTATGGTATTGTCAAGTCCTTGTCAAAACACATGGGATCTTGTAAATATATTTTTGTAATGGCTTAGATATTGGACTGACAGACATAAGGATGTGGGTTCGAGTCCCACTTGGGCTTACCTCAGAAATCTAAATTGAATGAGGGATCTGTTAGTGTTTGCTTGTATTGATCTATTGTCTCATGTTCCTCTTCTCTGTGCTGCTCTGTTGACCAGGTGGAGTGAAGTCCTGCTCTCTGAACTGCCTGGCGGAGGGATATAACTTCTACACAGAGCGTGCACCGGCTGTGGTGGACGGGACCCCATGTCGAGACGACTCTCTGGATGTCTGTGTGAACGGAGAGTGCAAGGTGAGACTGCTCCGTCCTTTCTATCCTCTCCTCTCATTTATCTCTCTCCTCTTTTCCTCCCTCCCCTCCTCTTCCACTTCTTGTTGAATGGTAAATCCATATGAATTCAATCACTTTTTGACAGTACCCCTTTTGATTTGAACGAAACCTTCCATACATATTTGCCCATTGTAGAAGTGCTCAGACAGTTTTTTTTTTCGGACCTGAATGCCAAAACATTCAAGAGATAAAGGTGCTCAAAGACACATTTTGCATACTCCACCATCCTTGCTTTCATCACTGGAAAAGATAAACGGTTGAGATTGATATAATTTTAAAGCTTACAAACAGGGTTGTCAAACTATTTTATAATTTCTGGAAACAAATGTTATTTAATACAAATTTTTCGCATATGTTGTAGCTTAGACCCTATTTTACATTATCTACGGTTTTTGTGTTGTGCTCTTTAATACAGGGTGGGTGTCATGTTTTGGCTGATAAATTTACATTAACATTTACATTTTAGTCATTTAACAGACTCTCTTATCCAGAGCGACTTACAGTAAAGTGCATTCATCTTAAGATAACTACAGTAGGTGGGACAATCACATATCTATCTCAGTCATAGTAAGGACATTTTTCTTCAGTAAAGTAGCTATCAGCAAAGTCAGAGGTAGTAAGAGGGAAAATAGATGATTTAAGACACTCTTTGAAGAGGTAGGGTTTCAGATGTTGGCCAGGAACTCTGCTGTCCTAGCTTCAGGGGGAAGCTGGTTCCACTATTGGGGTGCCAGGACAGAGAAGAGCTTGAACTGGGCTGTGCGGGAGCCGTCCCTCCCGTAGAGGTGGGAGGGCCAAGAGACCAGAGGTGGCAGAACGGAGTACTCGGTTTGGGGTGTAGGGTTTGAGCAGAGCCTGAAGGTAGGGAGGGGCAGTTCCTCTTGCTGCTCCATAGGTAAGGCCGTGGCGGTCATGACATTTTGTTTTCTTGTGATTGTCATGCAAATAACTGCCGTTCTCATGGTAATTGACCATTAATGAACATTAACACATTTAGCATCTCCTGGCTATCACGTATAGCCTACAAGCCACTGATGCAGACCTTTGGAACATCTACATAAAAAAAAGTTTTATGAATCTATTTAATATAGCCTACACCAATAAAATCCATTATTTATTTTAGACAGGTCTAAAGAAATAAGATATGAAGAAAGTTTCGCCTATTGCAGAAGAACAGAATAGCATATTCTGAGTTGTCCTTATGTTAGGCCCTGATCTGGCTATGCCATAATGCTAGTTCATTTAGCAGACAAGATTTGCTTAGAATTCCGTGGCATTATAATTTTGCCCCAAAAATGTACCACCCTTTTCTCCCCAATTTCGTGATTACGATCTTGTCTCATCGCTGCAACTCCCTAACGGGCTCAGGAGAGGCGAAGGTCAAGTCATGCGTCCTCTGAAACATGACCTGCCAAGCCGCGCTTCTTAACACCCGCTTGCTTAAACCCGGAAGCCAGCTACACCAATGTGTCGGAGGAAACAATGTTCAACTGACGACCGAAGTCAGCCTGCAGGCGCCCGGCCCGCCACAAGGAGTCGCTAGAGCACGATGACCCAAGTAAAGCCCCCCTGGCCAAACCCTCCCCTAACCTGGACAACGTTGGGCCAATTGTGCGCCGCCCTATGGGACTCCCGGTCACGACCAGTTGTGACACAGCCTGGGATCGAACCCCAGGCTGTAGTGACTCCGCAACACTGCGATGCAGTGCCTTAGACCGCTGCGCCACTCAGGAGGTCTTCCGTGGCATAATTGTATATTATTTTATAGTATGAAGAATACAATTGAACATAGCTGAATAAAATAGAAAGGATATTTTCCCCAAACTATTTCAGAGGGAGTACGCACATGTGGCTATTCTGTGTTGAAAGGTTAACGAAGAAACAGGACCTCCTATATGCTTAATTTAGAGTTATTTATGCAACTGTAGTTGTGAGTCACAATGTTAGGCTATATGTTTAGATTTTTTATACATTCTAATGCTGCATGATTGCGACTCTAATGATGATTTGAAAAAAGTTGCATGAAAGGCATGAGCTCTGCTCTGTTTCTTGCGCAGGCTGGACACACTTCATCAGTCTCTCATTCACAATTTGACAAGCACTTGATAATATTGTCACCCATCAGACTATTCTTAATTTAATCTGGTCTTCACATACTAATATATGTGTGGAATAATTTTTTCTTTATAAAAAAAAAACAGCATCCGTAGCCTGCTCTCAAATAGCGAATGGAGGTTACTTGCGGTTACATTTTTAATATGCTAGCATAGGCGAAGCGTCCATAAGGCTAGGGGAAGCTAAGCTTTCCCTAAAGTAAATTGAATTAAATTGCCAAAATGATATAGCCTAATTAGCCTATTCCTGTCTATACAGAAATAAATACAATAATTCAAAATAGGCTACTAAAGCATGATTTTTCCACAGAGGATCATTAGCTTATTGTTGAGTTGCGACTGTCTGAAAAGTAGAAAGGCCAAGCCAGGCATATCGCAATATTTCAAATACAATCGCGGGAAAACATAGTTTGGAAAGCAAATGGTTATTGCTGTAAAGATAAGACACTGAAAAGCATAATCTGTCTCTTAGTTATCAAAATTCTCAACTTAATTGAGCGAACAATTAATTACTGGCACCAGCGGAGAGCATCGGCAATATCCCGAGTGAGTGCGTACTGCGCATATTCACTATTTATCATTGTTGGGTCAATGCTACTTAAAAGTTTGTTTTTGGACAATAATTTCCTCCTCCAGTTTAGATGGGTGACATATTATTTTTGTGTCTCCCCTTCTCGTAGCCCTATATGGGCAACGTCGTTTTTATTGATCTGTTTGTCAGTGTCAGCAGAGTAGGCTACTTAAAAAATATTCTGCTGCAAGTGTGTGTATGCATGAGTGGCTGCGTATCTGCGTGTGTGTGTGCCATGCACGAAAAGATGGTGAAAACATAATGTAGGTAGGGGATGCCAACACCAGGAGATTTAACCAACAAAAAATCTAATCAAACACTTCGTGAGAGCCCATGAGCTCATGTTGCGCAACATTTCTATAGGCTATGCAATTGCGTGAGAAAACAGAGTTTTGATGGCTACTATTAAAAACAGGAGGACCCCATCAGGTTTCTATAGGCTAGGCCTACTATACTTATTTCTCAACTTTGTGTTTATAAAAGGCCACATTTTTCCCATGCGAAGAAAGAAGAGACGTATCGGATATAGCCTATAGCCTAGGCCTACTCAATGCTATACGCGCTCAGCCATGCATTGAACTGTCTTTTTTGCAATGACTATCCAATCTAATCATCACATTATGAATAGTAGTCTATCTTAGATTAGGATCACCACTTTATTTTAAGAATGTGAAATGTCAGAATAATAGTAGAGAGAATGATTTCTTTCATCACATTCCCAATGGGTCAGAAGTTTACATACACTCAATTAGTATTTGGTAGCATTGCCTTTAAATTGTTTAACTTTTCAGGTAGCCTTCCACAAGCTTCCCACAATAAATTGGGTGAATTTTGTCCCATTCCTCCTGCAGCAAAGCACCCCCACAGCATGATGCTGCCACCACCGTGCTTCACGGTTGAGATGATGTTCTTCGGCTTGCAAGCCTACCCCTTTTTCCTCCAAACATAACGATGGTCATTATGGCCAAACAGTTCTATTTTTGTTTCATCAGACCAGAGGACATTTCTCCAAAAAGTACGATCTTTGTCTCCATGTGCAGTTGCAAACCGTAGTCTGGCTTTTTTATGGTGGTTTTGAAGCAGTGGCTTCTTCCTTGCAGAGCGGCCTTTCAGGTTATGTCGATATAGGACTTGTTTTACTGTGGATATAGATACTTTTGTACCTGTTTCCTCCAGCATCTTCACAAGGTCCTTTGCTGTTGTTCTGGGATCACACCAAAGTACGTTCATCTCTAGGAGACATAACGTGTCTCCTTCCTGAGCGGTATGATGGCTGCGTGGTCCCATGGTGTTTATACTTGCGTACTATTGTTTGTACAGATGAACGTGGTACCTTCAGGCGTTTGGAAAATGAACCAGACTTGTGGAGGCACTAAGTTTGAAGGTAGGCCTTGAAATAAATCCACAGGTACACCTCCAATTGACTCAAATGATGTCAATTAGCCTATCAGAAGCTTCTAAAGCCATGACATCATTTTCTGGAATTTTCCAAGCTGTTTAAAGGCACAGTCAACTTAGTTTATGTAAACTTCTGACCCACTGGAATTGTGATACAGTGAATTATAAGTGAAATAATCTGTCTGTAAACAATTGTTGGAAAAATTACTTGTGTCATGCACAAAGTAGATGTCCTAACCGACTTGCCAAAATTATAATTTGTTAACAAGAAATTTGTGGAGTGGTTGAAAAACGAGTTTTAATGACTGTATGTAAACTTCTGACTTCAACTGTATAAGTCTTCAAATGCGATTATGCATGGAATGCTTTATTATAAAGGTGCATTTTTTGGTGAATATTTGGGCTAGGCTACATGAGGTGTGCGACTATGATTTGACAAAGTTGCACAAAAAATGCATGTGCTGTTTCTTTTGAAAGTACGAATCTCGGAGCATCGTAGCACCATTAGGTGCAAAAACTCGGCATACCCAGTCGCGGCCCACTTTTCGGAAGCGAACCACTCGATTTCGTCCCTACGTTATATCGGCATCGAACATGTCACCCTTCCTAGGAGAGGGGGTGACCTCGACAACTTATTGTTAAAACGTGAGGCTGCCTGGATCTTTAATTTAAAGACCCTTACTCCCTTCGGTCTCAACGTAGACTTTGATTTGAAGCCATTCTTGTGATTATTGTGACTTTGCTATTCATTGTAAATGTTTGTGGGCCTATGTAGCCAAGTTGTATCTATGATTTTATGCTATCCATTCATGTTTTTTGTATGTTCTGTTTATCTGTGAATTAACCAATGATATCAGGCCACACCCGGCCATGATTAC